TAGTATAAGCAAATCATCTTTAACACCTTATACCAAGTCCCATCCAAACCATGGCCACTCTTTATATAAAATTAATCATGGTATTCTTACCAAGTTTTAAAGATGTTTCCTAAACATTACCAATGTTTAAGTGCCAATTCCCTACAAATCACCATTTCTTCATCATTTCTTAATTGAGCTCTTTGTAAATGAAACTTCCTTTGGATATTGTGACTTGTATTTATGTATTTAAGGAATTAAAAGTGGACAAGATGTAGAAAATAAATGTATTAGTAATATTTTCCCATGTATTAACTAAAGGAAGGACTATGGAATTGTCACATTTCTTGTATTGTGCCTTAGCAAATCTGCTTGAGAGCCTAGTCTTTTGTTTTTGTTTTAAGAATTGGGGGGAAAAAAACACGTATCTGCAATTCCAGGTCTGTAAAGACAGAAATCATCCGTGGTAATGTGTTTAGTGCCTGGACAGAGGCAAATAATAACTGTGTATAATGAAAAGCTATAAAAGAACAGACTTAAAAATTAGAATTTCAATATGAAAAGACAAAGTGTAGAGAGGTGACAAATACAGCATTAGCCACCACATCTCAAAAGACTTGAACTAAAGGGCATCCCTTAAAAGTAAGGAGCTCTAGGAAAAATAAAAGATTATGTAGCAGGGATAACAGTAGAACGATTTCAGTTCAACAAATGTTTATCAAGTGTCTACTCTGGTCAAAGTTCTGTGCTGTCAGCCAGCTTCCCTAAAGGGAGGTAAGGTCAAAGCCAAGGACACTGAGCATTGTTGATGTGAAGTCATTGGAGGGAAGTGCCCTTTATCAAGGGAAAATTAGGGTTTCTATGAAGCTTTGAAGGACATAGTCATGGAGACAATCACCATGTGAAGTTAACTTGCTGGTTTCACAGTTGGGCCTCAGGAACCTCAGCTAAAAAAATGAGAAAGCTGAACTAATGGTCCCTGCCGGCTCCAGTTTTATGGATTATTTTATAAAAGATCCTTTGGTGCCATTGTCAGTGATACTTCATGTCAGTAGGATTCTTCATATAGTCTTAAGAACCAAGAACCAAGATCAGCTGGCCCATCTTTTTCCTTTTCATGTATCTATCCTTTACCGTCTGCCCAGACAACAAACACAGAAAACCCTGCAGGCCTCTATTTTGTAGCTGGAGGATCAAAAGGATGGTGACCATCAGTTAGAACACTGCTCTGTAAGTTACACCGGCATCACCCAGCAAAACAGTGCTGTGAGTGTGAGGAGGAACAGACCAGACAGGGCTCCGAAATGGATGGTAGGATTTGGGGATCACTTTGAAGCAGAAGTAGGTCTAACCCTCCAAGGTACTGAGGGGCCACATTAGGATTATCTAGGGTTTATAGTTATGTCCTTTTACACAGAAGACTGTAGAAATTGAGGGAGGAAAGAAATGCTCCATAAACATTCTGGGACTATTTGTCAATCAGTTAAGGCAAAATGAGATGAGATGAGAGCAAGGGTCAGTTCTCTGTATCCCCACTGTCTATTAGTAACATGAAAACGTAGTTTAAAATTTTTTTTAAACATCCTGAAGCTACAAAATACCATCTCTTTTATGGTATGTGTTAGTATGATTTTAGTGTCTTGTACTTAGAATGGGGTCAAATGTAATGGCTCGATTCTAACTGAGCAAGGAATTCTAGCATCCTCTTCCTGGTCAGTCCTATGTGCCTCAGATCAAACCCTCAGTGCTAGTCATGGACATCATCTAGCCACCCTCATCTTGCCTCCATGTGCTTCAGGACCAGCAACCCCAGGTAGTATCCAAAGCAAGCAGATCTGGGAAAGCAGATGTGCCGCACAGATCCTGACAGCAACCTGTTGGACCAAAGGGTTTAAGGGTTTTGAAGTATGAGGTAAAAGAAGGGAAGATTATGAGCTCCTCTGACCCTAAGCCAGCATTCATTTGACCTTTGTGTCTACCTGCCAACAGAACCTGGAGAAAACTTACCATATGCAAGAAAATAAACAGAATCAGTGTTTTAGCCAGGGAGTGTGATAAAGGAGATCTCCTCACCCTCCATTTTTGTAATGTCCATCAGTGAATTTCAGTATGTCAGGATGGATGGATCCAAGATCCAATGAGTGATTCAGCTGATCCAAGGCTTTTATTTTCCTTCCTTCATCATCCATCCTCATTTGATGTAACCTCTTGTACTAGTGTGACTAATTTTATGTAAAACCGGTTTACTTTTCTTAAAAAGAATATGTGCCTACGTAATAAAGTCTACACACTGGCTAGCTTTATAGAGGTGAGGTTTTGTTTGTAATTGTTCTGCTGATTATCGTCTGTAATACCCTTTTCTTGAGCTATGAAAATGAGCTATTAATAAAAATTTTTAAATAAAATCTGTCACTATGGAAGATTTAATGAGGTGAGGCATAAGGAAAAATGTTTATTATAAAGAATGCCCATCACCCAGTTAATATGTTAATGATCATAAGATGACATGTTAACAAGTGACACCAACTGCTTATCCTAGTTTATCATATATATAATTTAGTCAATTCAAGAGGTATTTATTGCGTTCCTATTTTCTGGCCAATTCTGTCAGAAAACAAAATTATATAATCCTTAAGATTTTCTTGGCAATAAGTGCATACACAGATAAGTGAGAAATATAAAAGTACATAATCAAATACCATATCTGCAATGTGTTCCTGGCATATTGTCAGTGCTCAACAAGTAACTGTTCAATCGATGAATCCAAATGACTAATGTCAACATAAACTCAGATGGGAAAAAAAAATCAATATGGACTAGAATACTTGGAAGGTTTTCACAGAAAAGATGACTTTTAAGTGAGACCTGGAGGTCTCAGTGGCAAGAGGAAGGGAGTTTAGAACTGGGAAGAGTCATGTCAAAGTGGCATGCTGGATGAGTGGAAGGTGAGCCTGACCTGAGTGAAGGGCTCATGCACATCAGAAGGTAAGGTTGGGGGGCGCCTGGGTGGCTCAGTGGTTAAGCAACTACCTTCGGCTCAGGTCATGATCCCAAAGTCCCGGGATCGGTGCTCGCTTCGGCAGCACATATACCAAAGTCCCGGGATCGAGTCCCAAATTGGGCTCCCTGCTCGGCAGGGAGTCTGCTTCTCCCTCCTACTCTCTCCCCTCTCATGCTCTCTCTCACTCCCTCTCTCTCTAATAAATAAATAAAATCTTAAAAAAGGTAAGGTTGGTAGCAAAGGCAAGCTGAGGGAGGGCTTGCATCTAGCCTGAGGTCGACTCAACCCAGTAAATGCTATGAAGCCATTTTAGAATCTTACTAATAAAGCACTATTCTAGAAAGACTCACCTGTCTACAATGTGCCGGGTGGTTTTGGACTAGAGAAAAGCTTAAGGGCAAAGAAAACCAAGGGTTTTTTTGAGTAACCAAGGAAAGAAATAAACCAAGCTTTGTGTTTTGTTTAGTTCAAATAGGCCATGGACATCTTACTGCAAAATAAAATGATCTGTAATTGGCCCCCTGTTGTTGAGAGAACTGTGTCCTCAACAGAACACAGAATTCTATAGCCTAGCCAGTATGAAATTACCTGGTATTAATAACTGATAGCAGGTGCACAGAAGGATTAATAGCCAAATAACAGCATAAAATTTTCTTAGCTGAAGAATAATATCCTCCTTTGCCCTATTCTTCCATCCTTATCCATCCAGAGTCCTCTTGAGTAAGTTTTGAGACCTGTCTAGGTCCCACATTGACAAAAGGTTTCAGCCTGCTAAGGTTCCCCTGTACTTTAATATTCAAGTGGAATAATTATGCAAGTAGTTCTCTGAAGCCAAGTGTGCTCCCTAGTGATCTTCAGGATTTGTGGGAAGAGAAGTTGGGAATGAGAGGAAGTGAAGATGAGAATTTAAATGTCCTCTGGGTCATTTGTCAGCTCTTTTCCAAATTCCTCCCACCTTTTTCTTGATCACCTCTAACTATTTCCTCTTTATTCCTCCATGCTGGACAGCGCTTTCTCTATTCCCAAAACATAATATGAGTTAGCTTTTATGTAGTGTTTATACTCCGGTGCAACCATGTGTACTAAGTATTTTAGATACATTCATATTTAATGAAGGCAGCCCCTCTCTCCATTCTGCAAGGTACTAATAATTCAAGGCTGATGGTACAACTGACATTTATTAAAGGTTAGCAATTAATAGTGAGTACAGCACAAAACAGGAAAGAACTTAAAAGTCAATACCAGACATCCCTGCTCTGAAAGTTCACTGCTCACACCCCACAGAGGGACTCCTTGTTATACATCTTTCTCCCTCGCCTCTAGCCTGAGTAAATGGAGCCAACACCTCAAGTCCCCAAAAGATGGTCTCCCTGACTGCCAAGGGAAAACTGAAAAATTCTTAAAATCTCATGTTAAGTGCGGATTAAGTTCTAAATTCAACACTCTTGAAAATCAAAGTGCCCCTAAAATAAAGTAGACTAAGGCATAAGTCTTCTTTAATGAAAGTTGCCCTATGACCCTCAATTAATTTTTCAGCTTCTTCATTGAGAATACGGACAGAGTCATCACTGCCCCAAATCCCAGCCACCTGAACAATGTGTTCCAGTTCACGGTCAATGTGGGGAAGCCATTAAAATGAGTCACAATTATTTCCTGAGTTTTACCAACATGAATTGACTGTTTCAGGCTTGACAGCATCTTTTCTCTGCCTCACAGACCCACTGAGTGGAATGGCAGACCAAATAACTTGAATAGAAGTATAATGAGTCTCCATTATAGTTTACTTTCTTATGCAAAGCAAATTTTAGTTCCACTCCATTGCATCCTGTCATGGACCCACTGAAGCATCTTTCCAAACCAAAGAGAAGTCTATCCTAGATCTCCAAAAAGAACTTACATAAACTCACATTTTTTTTCTTTAGAGGTCTAAAAAAATTTACAGATACTATTTTTAGAAAAACTCAGAGCTGAGGGACGCCTGGGTGGCTCAGTTGGTTAAGCATCTGCCTTCGGCTCAGGTCATGATCCCAGGGTCCTGGGATCGAGTCCCGCATTGGGCTCCTTGAGCCTGCTTCTGCCTTTCCCTCTGCCGCTCCCCCTGCTTGTGCGCGCTCTCTCGCTTGCTCTCTCTCCCTGAAAATAAATAAAATCTTAAAAAAAAAAAAAAAGAAAAGAAAAGAAAGAAAAACTCAGAGCTGAAAACCATGTACTTTCCTTCCCCACACAGTCTAGGTTAACAGAAGGGAATGAGATAAAATATCTTCTACGCTTGTAGAAAGCAAACCCCAGGGGTTACTTTTTTTTTTATCTTCTTTCCTCTCCCTCACCTCTTCCTCTTCTTCTCTTCCTCTCTGTTCTTTTCACTAAACGCTATAAAGCCCTGAGAGCCTGGACTCGTGTGGTGGCATTGGCGGATAAAGGAACGTATCTCAGAGACTGAAATGGTCTCCAATTATTTCTTCCCACGTTGAACTCTTTTTGAACAAATTGCACATCTCATTTGCCGCCTGTTAACAGTTGTGTGCTGCCTTTTAATATTTTTTATTTATTAGGTTTATCCTTCTCGTTAAAAAGCAATCATTGACTAAAAGAATTGGTCTTCTGGGCATGCAGCAAAAATGTACTGAAAGCAACATAGGAATCAGCAGACATAAATCAGCATACTCTTATCTATGCTACTCTGCCACCTACAGGAAGGTTGTGAGTGGGTCACCCCACTTTCAGGTGACAGCAATGACTAACATATCTGCAAAGTACTCTTCTTTGGAATAATTGCTAATCAATATAGTAGTCATTCAAGAATGTTTGAAACACCCATTCTGTGTTCTATTAGGTTCCAAGGATGCAGAGGTAAATGAGACATGGTCCACCCCCTCCAGAAATACCTCGTTCAGAAGATGGTTTTGATAGCAAATGCACCATCGGGAGCAAGGGCAGCACGTTTGACAACTTCATTTGAGTTACAAAAGGGCATCCCACTTTCTGGACTGGTAAAGCCCCACATCAGAACATAGAGAATACTGTAAGTAGATCAAGCCCGGGGTTTCACCTCCGCCTTCTCGGAAGAGTCCTTCTGTGCAACGTAGAAACTACATAATAGTATGTGGCCTCCTCAGTTCTATAGCTGGTATCCAAATCATGAGCGTATGGATACCTATTTTTTTAAAAATAGACATGAGGGGCGCCTGGGTGGCTCAGTTGGTTAAGCGACTGCCTTCAGCTCAGGTCATGATCCTGGAGTCCCTGGATCGAGTCCCGCATCGGGCTCCCTGCTCGGCAGGGAGTCTGCTTCTCCCTCTGACCCTCCCCCCTCTCATGCTCTCTCTATCTCATTCTCTCTCTCAAATAAATAAATAAAATCTTAAAAAAAAAAAAATAGACATGAAAGGGGAGCCTGGGTGGCTCAATCAGTTAAGCGGCCGACTCTTGATCTCGGCTCGGGTCTTGATCTTGGGGTCATGAGTTCAAGCCCCTTGTGGGGCTCCCTCTGGGTGTGGAGGCCACTTAAAAAAAAAAAGTAAAAATAGACATGAAAATATCTGGAGCCTAGAATTTACGAAAACATAAATCCATACATAAGGAAATACAGAAATAGTAACAATGTTTTAATATTTCATTTTAATCCCTGTATCAGTGAACGTAGGAGAGGAGATGAGGCTACAAGAAACAACAAAGATGATGTATAAAGGGTTTGAATGGAGGTCTGGCCACGAAGGTGGCAAGAAGCCCCTGAAGCAGTCCAAGAAACAGGCCAAGGAGATGGACAAGGAAGATAAGGCATTCAAGCAGAAACAGAAAGAAGAGCAGAAGAAACTCGAGGAGCTAAAAGCGAAGGCCGCGGGGAAGGGCCCCCTGGCCACAGGTGGAATTAAGAAATCTGGCAAAAAGTAAGCTGTTCCATGTGCCCGAGGCAATGATGATCCTTAATTCCATTCCTGTTTAAACATCTGGATTCCCTGTCATAGCATCTGTTGCTACCTACAGCTGGAATGAAGTGTTGTCTTAGATCCTGTTGTACATTTAAGAATAAACTTTTGTAAAAAAATAAAAAAAATAAAGGGTTTGAAGGGAAAAAAGAGGAGCCACAAATGGAAAACCAAAACCAATGAAGAGGGGATGGTTGAAGGACAAATGAGCACACCCTTAATCTTGAAACTTTAGGAAAAGGTCATACGTATATTTTAAACAAGCACATGCAGAAATGCTCTTAAGAATGGTTTTGGGAGGTTGCACTACATTGACACATGCTATGAAGCAATGAATTTGCAGCAAGAAGTATTTCGCATGCACTTAGAAAGTTGCATTTGTCATGTGATTACAGACTATTCTTATCCACTCCCTGATATTATCATCATCATCAACAAAGACAATAAATAGTTGGGGAGTTCTTAAGATTATCAAAATAATTGGTTTTAGGGGCACCTGGGTGGCTCAGTCGGTTAAGCATCTGCCTTTGGCTCACGTCATGATCCCAGGGTCCTGGGATCGAGTGCTCCCTGCTCTGCGGGAAGCCTGCTTCTCCTTCTCCCACTCCCCCTGCTTGTGTTCCCTCTCTCGCTGTGTCTCTCTCTGTTGAATAAATAAATAAAATCTTTTTTAAAAATTGGTTTTAGCCAAGTACATTAGAAAGCTTAAATATTGTCATTCTTGCCCTCAGAAAGAATTATATATAGCAAGATAATGTATAATGCAAGGTATATACAAAGAGTGCTACACGACGGATTTTAGAAATCTGGGGAGGAATTCAAATGAATTATTGCAATCGGAAAAGTTTTGGAGAAGGGATATGTTTTGGGCCAACTCTTGAAGGAAAGGGTACCACTTCAAAAGGCAAAGTAGGGCATGGCCAGGAGGGCAAGTGCACAAGTAGGGGGAACACCATTATGTAAGTAAAGTAGGCAGAACTCAGTATAAATGGTGGATTTAGATATAATCAGTATATCTATTTGATGAGAATAGTAGAAATAAAAATGGCTAACTAGGACAGACTATATTTTCCTCCAAATAAATGCAATAAATAACAATACTTCCAGTCCCAAATGCTCTTCCAGAACCTTCCAGCCCCCATCAAACTGTGGAGTCTATTTCCCCACCCCTTGAATTTGGGCTTTGAATGGTGGGTCTAACGACTGCTCCAACGAATAGAGCACAGTGGATGTGATGCTATGTGACTTCCAAGGTGAGGTCATAACAGGATGCAGTTTCTGCCTCCTTCTCTCTGAGTTCACTCACCTTTCCACCCTGGCTCCATGTTTTGAGGGAGCCCAGACCACGTCCAGTGACCACATGTAGGTATCCCACTCAACAGTCTTAGCTAAGGTCTCAGCTGACAGCTGGAATCAAGCAAGACACATAAGTGCATGGAGATTCAAATGATTCCAGCCCGCAGATTTTGAGGCTTCCAGCTGAGGCACCTGATGTCACAGAAAAGAGATAAGCCATTCCTGCTGTACTCTGTCCGAATTCCTGATCCTCATAATTCATGAGCATAATAAATAATTGTTTCAGGCCAATAAGTTCTGGGGTAATTTGTTACATAGTAGTTACATTCTAGTTCTAGTTACATAGTAACTAGAACACTAACATTAATTGAGTAATAATCGAATGCCATGTACCACGTTTGATGCCTTATATTTTATATCGGCTAGCTATTTCTGTATAACAAACCATTCCAAACCTCAGTGGCTTAAAACAATAGTTCTTGCTTATTAAGCTCACATATCTGTGGTCTACTGTGGACTGGCTGACCTAGGCCGGGCTCGCTTATGTGCTTAAGTGTTGCCTGGGAACCCTGCCCTAGCCTGGGCTTGGCTGGGGCATCTTAGTTAGGGCAGATCCACTGTATGTGTCTCTTATCCTCCTCTTGGAATTGACAAGTTTGCCTGGGTAGGTCATTTTCATGGAAAGGCAGGAGTGGAAATACTTAGGCTTCTTAGGGCCTGACGTCAGAAATGGCACACCATCACTTCTACCAAATTCTTTTTTTTTTTTTTTTAATTTTATTTATTTATTTGAGAGAGAGAATGAGAGAGAGAGCAGGAGAGGGAGGAGGGTCAGAGGGAGAAGCAGACTCCCCGCCGAGCAGGGAGCCCGATGCGGGACTCGATCCCAGGAGTCCAGGATCATGACCTGAGCCGAAGGCAGTCGCTTAACCAAATGAGCCACCCAGGCACCCCACTTCTACCAAATTCTGTTGGCCAAATGGACTCACATGACCAGGCCCAGATTAATGGCGAAAGAGAACAGACCCCATCTGTTTAATATACTGCAAAGTCACAGGTGAAGGGCGTACACATAGGGAGGGGTGAAGAACTGGAGTCATTAATTCAATCTATTGCCTAATTATCAAGAAAGTACCATTATCATCCCCCATCTCATTCATGTCATTGAGAAACTGAAGCACAGAGACTTTAAATAAGGTGACTTAACTGAGTTCCTGGAGCTTCCAGTGAGACTGCTGTTCCTGTTGCTTCTCATCACTGCAACTGTCCAAGACACCAAACTCTCATATGTCTTTGATCTTTAGGTGCTAGATCTCAACTGGCTGCAAGACTGCTGGGTCGTCTGTGCTTCCCACCTTAAACCAATTCCTAACCTTCCTCTAATTGGACCTTAGCATCACTATGCCAATATGTGTTTTTCCATGAGCCTCAGGAACTGCTAGAAATCCCAACTCTTTTCACCCATCACCCCAATTCATCCATGAATACATCTCCCTCTTACACTCCTCCCTAGCTCCCTCGACATTTCCTGTGCCTCTAAGATTCAAGATCTGTCATCAGTACTCTTAATCTATGATATCCTCTCTGGACAGTCCCTTCACTCCCATCTGCCTTCATTTCCAACCCGACTGAAACACTGCTATTCCCCTGTTCCAGGCACATGCTCCCACTGCCCTGAAGTCCTCGCAACAGGATGTCGTTTTTTTCTCTTACACCACGTACCTGTGGGCTTGAAGATGAGAGAGAAGAGAGGTATCCTCTTTGCTTCATAAATCATTCTTCCTCTTCAAAACTTGGATCCTATGGAGTTCATGCTATCACACTACAACCCCAAATATTGCTATCTCCTTGACCTTCATACAAAGCTTAATTTAGCTTATTTTGCAAGACTAACTTGACCTGGGTTCTTTCTTGACTGTGTGTCTGGAAATCATAAGCAAAACTTGAACTGGTTCCCAAGGTTAATATGAGGTCACTACAGACCAATTCTCTATCATTTATGAAAATTCTAATATTCTAACCAATCACCGTGAAGTATAAATAACCACTGCCTTCCCATTATATAAACTACCCCTTACAGAAGGGGCCTTCCCCTCTAACCATATACCCTGAGCCTCATTCCATGTTTTGGTTTGAGGGCTCCTGGTTTGCAAACTGTATTTTGGTGTGTGCACGATAAACTTTTATGAATTACTAATTGGTCATTCACTGGTTTTCTGTTATTTATGAACTTCTGACAGTAGTTACTTGCTGAGGCCCAAGACACATGGCTTACTCTCTAGGAAGATGTTCCAGGAGTTGCCCACATCACCTCTTATATTTCCTGGATCTAATGTAAGCACAGGGTGACAATCAGCTGCAAAGGAAGCTCAAAAATGTAATATCTTGCTGGGCAAGACCAACTAACATTCAGGGAATTTTATTACTAAAGGAAAGGGAAAAATGGATATTTGGGAACAGTTACTGATCTTTGTCACTTTAGTTAAGCCTCTTACCTACCCACTCTATGCCTTTCCACAAGTAGCTGACTGACACCAGAGAAGAGCACCACAGCCATTATGATTCTTATCCTAAATCTGAAGAAAGCAATTGATAACAACCTTATATACTTTTTAAGATACCTTTGATGTTCTGCCTGCAAAAAATGACTAATTCATATTTTCTCCTCTTTTCTCCAACCTTCAACGATTCCTTCCCACTTTTTACACTGTGTTCTCAGCTGATAACTTACCCTTGTATTTTACTGAAAAATTGTAAACAATTACAGGAAGTTCCTTTGCTTCCTACTACCAAATCTATCAACTTACCTACACATTTCCACCGTCAGTTCTAACTTTCTTCTCATCCTCTGTCCTTTTACAGTATATGGAAGCTTTCTATTCCCAGCAAAGATGAACACCTCCCTTTTTGCTCTGAAGCCTATCCTCCCTGGCCTTTCTCAAAGAGTGATGACTGCAATAATATGCAATTTCTTTTGTATCATTATGATTTTTTTTTTCCCTGTTGACTATTCCCAGAAATAGTCTCTAACAAATCCCACCTTCAAAAAATCATTTGAGGAAAGGATTCTGGGAAGCTGGTGGAGTAGGAAGCACCAGGAATCAGTCTCCCCACCTAGACATCAATTGCATTGGCAGAATCTGATATAACCATGTTGGAACTCTGGAGTCTATTGAAGGCTTGCAACTTCCAGGCAAAGGCTTGGATGGTAAATTGCAGTTAGGTTCAGTCAATGTCAGCTCTTAGCCACAGGAGCAGCTACCCATCCCCCATCTCCCAGGCCTGTGGCAGGCAGCCCTGCACAGACTCCAGAAGCAGCTTGTGTGTGCTTGCCGGAGCCAGAGTAGACACAAAAGACCCTGTCCTCCCAACATGGGGAGTCTGTGCTCTGACTGCTGATTGCTACTTTTGATCATGGAGATACAGAGAAGCTATATTTGCTCTCACCCTTTTCTCACTTCATCTTTTCTTCTCAGTTCACTCCAATTTGTCTTCCATCTCCATTACTACACTATAATGGCCTTTGTCAATGTTCTCTGACTTAACAAATCTAAGATCTTTCCTATCTTGTCTTATGTGCTTCTCAGCAGCATTTGACAGCTTTAACTACTCTCTTTTTGCAACATTCTCTAACCTTGGTGTCCACACCCACCTCCTACCCTCACTCCTCCCATTCTCTTGGTTTATATGCTACATCGTTGCCAGCTCCTTCCCAGTCTTGTTTTTTCGGCTCTTTCTCCTTGGTCCAGTCCATAAATGTCAGAATGCCTCTACTCTCTCCCCTTACATTCTTCACACAATCTCACACATCCCCATGGCTCTAAGTACCTATATATGCTAAATGAGTCCCCAATATTTATTTCCAGGTCAAATTCTAAACTTGTATTCAACAGTTTATTTGATGTCTTCACCTCAGTGCTCAACAGACATCTAAACCTAACCATAACAGAATTTTTCTCCCCTAAATGTGTCTTTCCCTCAATTTTCCCCAACCTAAATGGCACCACATCTTCCCAGTCACCTAAGAGAAGCCTATGTGGCATCTCTGATTGCTCATTTTTCTAAAACCCCATGTTGTACCCAAAGCAAACCTTACAGGGTCCTTTTTCAAAACATGATGAATCTTTCTATCTCTACTCTTCTCACCTGGATTTCTACAAATGCCTAACATATAATATTCTACTTATTTATCTTGTCTGTTGTCTGTTTCACCAGCCTCATGAGCTTCATGAGTGAAGGGAATTCGGTTTGTTTTGTCTTATGCTGTACATTCATGGCTTAGAATAGGGCTTGATGCTCAATAAGTATTTGTTGAATGATTGGCAGAAAAGTCTAGTGGGAATCAGACATGCAAAAATTGAATTATAATACATTCTTTTATTTTTTTAAAATAAACATTTTATTTATTTATTGATAGAGACAGATAGTTACAGAGATATCGAGAGTACAAGCAGGGGGAGCAGCAGAGGGAGAGGGAGAAGCAGGCTCCCCGCTGAGCAGGGAGCCCGATGCGGGGCTCGATCCCAGAATCCTGGGATCACGACCTGAGCCGAAGGCAGACGATTAACCGACTGAGCCACCCAGGGACCCTATAATACATTCCTTTAAATGGGAGTATGTACAAAACTTAGGAAGGAGAGTATTTCCAGATCTTGAGAATTAGAGACAGCATTAGTATTTCTTTTTGGATGAGAGAAAAATAAGCCAAGAACAAAGAAAATTGTGAAAATATTTGTCTTAATAGTCCCTTTAAAATGTACACTGAAGCCCAATACACAAGTAATTACATCAAATATTATCACTTTCCAAATAATTTACAAAAATAAATATAGAGAAACAATGATGGGGGAAATAATGGAAGGAATTAAAACTTCCAGGAGCTGGGTTTCTCTAGAAAGGAAAAAAGGTAAGTGGAGAAAGACATTGTTAAGTGTGTAATGTGAATAAAGATTCAGAAACAAATTTTTAAAAATTCCTTTTTCTGGAGGAATGAGAATGGAGATTGGTCTCAACTTTATAGGACAGCTATGTGGGACCTGTATAAAGTCAGAGAGATAGAGGGGACAACCTATCATGGGTAGCTTGTGACTATCAATTCGTATTTAAAATGTAGAAATCCTAAGACCCAACAACTCCATTTCTAAGAATCTATCCTACAAATATAATAACAAAAGTGTATAAAGGTACATTCACAAGGACATTGTTGCAGCAAAGTTTAATGTAGCACAAAAGGGAACAGCCTAACTATTCCTTTGTGTACCTACAGAGGTGTCATCAAAGTCATCTGAGAATGTGAAATTTACTGGTCTAGAAAGAGGTCTGTGATATACTGGGTCTATGAAAAAGGCAAAATGGAGCGCCTGGGTGATGCAGCCGGTTAAGCAACCAACTCTTGGTTTTGCCTCGGATCATAATCTCAGGGTTGTGAGATCGAGCCCTGGCGCGAGCCAAGCTACTCATGCTGTTTGACAAGGTCCAAGTATGGGGGACGATCCTGAAAACAGGAGACTCCACAGCTGGCTCCTGCTATTCTCTTTCATTTTGTTTATGGCAATCTTTATAATTGTGGGAATATTTCTGGGGTTTCATGATAAAGTGACTACTCATCTTAGTTACGCCTATCTAAGCAATCATAATGAAACTAATTCCACGAAGAATTAGTTTCTATAGAACAAAATAACAAGACGGTCACGCTCTGTCTAGCACCTTTCTCTTCGCGTACTGTTTTTTAGTTTTAGCGAAAGTCAATAAGCAGAAATCAATGAAGGTCATGTTAATCATTACAAAGGAAAAATGAAAGAAGGCTATGTCTGTAATCCAAAAAATGATTTAAGATTATCTCGATAAATTGTAAAAAAACCATAATCACATGTTACGAAAGTATGGAAAAACAAAATATCCTAAAATATAAATAAAGTTCCTCCGAGGCTGTCAGGAGGAGATGCTTGCAACCTGATCCTGTGTCTGTGTCTCCTCATTCGTGATGCCGTCCTTTCCTTCGAGAGACCCACCCCGGCTGGAGCTTGACTCCGGCAGAGCCCCATGTGGGGCTCCATGCTCAGCATAGAATCTGCTTGAGATTCTCTCTCCCACTCCCTGTCTCTCCGGCTTATTCTCTCTCTCTCTCTCTCAAATAAATAAATAAATAAATCTTTATTTTTTTTTAAAAAAGAAAAAAACAAGTTGTATATAAAATTTAAGGCATGATTCCTTTTTTGTAAAAAACAAAGTGTACTCATATTCATCTACATATATATATCCAGAGATGCTTTGTGGGCATAAGAAAAAATACACGTGTGATTGAAATGTATGACTGGAAAGACAGAAATATGTGCGCTTCATCTTTTATTTTATGTAATTTTTTTTATTTGAGAGCTTTTGGTAATTTAACTTATCTTGTTTTGTTGTTGTTTTTCCTCCCCAATAAAATATTTTTTGAATGTCATGATTGGTTCAGGAAAAAAAATCAGAGGGCTAAATATGGAGACTAAGAACATACTGAGATTTTGAAAATGGTATGTATCTGATAATCATTATCCAATCACATTTTTATAAAGTCAGACAGAAATTCCGATTTGATTTTTTAAGCCAATATTGGAAGGGTGAAAATACATTAAGGGCACTGAAAAGAGGCTATGTTTGGTATTCTGTAACTACGGTATTAAAAAGGAAAAAGAAAAGCAAAGGAACAGTAATGGAGACAATGAGAGGCAAAGAGGGAGGGAAGGAGAAAGGAAGGTAAGTTCGGGGAAGAGGGGAGACAGGAAGAAGGGATTTGGAATTGATTGTATCGTTCACTAAAATTAGAGAAAATTAAGAAGCTATTATGTAATGAATTCTATCCTTGGAAAATAAAATGATTGTTAGTGATAAATATCCCTAAGGAGGCTACAAAATATATGAAGAAATGAAACACCACCCAGGGACTGTGGTTTCCTAGTTCTGTGTTCTATCTGGGCTCAGGTGTATTTTGTCTAACAGTATTGATTGTCTTTTATCACACACTACAATATATCTGAAGGCTGGAAAATCTATCATTTCAATTTAACATTTATTGAGGAATGGTAATGCATTCTACACTTGACAAATGAGCAATTATATCTCTTGACTAGAGATTTATATAAGGCCTCTAGTTTTAAACAGTCTGAGTCATTTCAGGAAATAGATGATTTTCAACAAATTTAGAAACAGAAATCAGTTATTCAAATGATTTAACGTCAAAGAAACTGGTGAAAAATTTACTAATTCAGAGTGTAGTATGTGTTTCATCTCAAACTTGGAATTGCTTCCTTCTTTGATTCTAATTTTACAGATGGAAAAAATAAAAAAAAACCTACATGTCCGAAAGAGAGATGGCTTTGCTTTATTGGTGAACTCAGTTCAGAAGTATGTTCTAATTCCCATTTGCTCCACTGTTCAACATGATCTAGACAAAGACAAAATGGAACCCATTTAATTTTCTGTTCCATCAATATTATTATTGTTGTTTTTATTGTTGTTATGGTCTTCAATATTTACTGAGGACCTACTTCGTGCCAATCACTGTGCTAAGGGGCTTTACATGGATTAACTCTTAATCATCACACAACTCTCTAAAGTAGGTAATATTACTAAACTGCCACTTTACAGATGAGGTAACTTGCCCATGGTCAGAGCGGGGACAAGCATCTTAGTCTACATGACTCAAAGTCCACACACTTGGTTACTTGCTATACCACTATACCTTTCAGTATATACTGCCTCTTCTGAGTTATTATTGTGCAATGACATTAGCACATGCCCAATTTAATGTATTTTTTAATCTACAGAATCAAAGTTATGCCACTGGCTTATTAGGTAAAATATAAAGAATTCCTCTTCCTAATGTTCTACCACTAAAAACAGTCATCTTTCATTTTCTTGTTTTATGAAAGCATTTAAAATGTAATGATAAAGCTAGACATAAATGTTTTGATTATAAAGAATCTTGCTAGAAAATGACTGTTCTTGACAAATTCAGTAATTGAGTAGGTGCTACTTAAAATGGGAAATGGATGATTTTCAACTGATGTAAAAACAGAGAAATCAGTTATTTAAATGATTTAATAAATGCTTCTTGATGATGCTTTTATGAAGGCAGTTTTATTTAATCAGGGCAAAGTCTCGGTTTCAGGTCTCAGTTTTGCATAAGCTACAGAGTTTCTCTTCTCCCAGACGAAGTTTAACACATTATATAATTAACATACATTTGACAAACTTAAGGAGCAACATGATTGACTCAAAACCTTTGCATTCTCCTGGACTGATAGTTTCTTATTTCTAAGACAGGTGGAAAGAGCCTTGAACTTGTACCTCTAAAATTTCACAAGTAAACAGCAATATGAACTTGGACAAGTCACTGCTGAAGGTGAGTCTCATTTTCCCGTCCACAATGAAGGGATTATATTACTTATCTCATTGGATTGCTGCAAGCTTTAAAGGAAGTACTGTGTGATTAAAGCTTTTAAAGTAAATCCATTATTATTATTGTTGCTTCTCATCGTGGCAGGAACACAAAATAGCAAATTCCTCATTTTTTTTTTTTAAATCTCCATTTTTCCTGTTTAAGCATCTATCATGTTTTGCCTGCTGGCTATCTCATTACTTTGAAGAAACATCCTACAAAAATAATCCAGAGCCTTGTTCACAACAAGGTATTTGAACTGCAACCCTTGATTTTCTCACAGAAAACTGTTAAATCGATCAGTCCTCCCATTCTGGTCTGGAATCTCTGAGCGACTTTCTGCTCCCTCCCTTTTTACAAGCTGTACTACCTCTACTACCAGAGGAAGGTAGATTCTGGGAACTGAAAATGGTCTATCTAGTTCCAGTTTATATAATAATTCTCTAAGATATGGTTTATAAATAAACTACAGATTTATCTATGATGTGTTTTATTAAAAAGTTATCTACATAGAATTATCTGCCATATCAGAAGCCTCTATCAAATTGAAGATGTATGAATAAGAAGATAAAGGTGGCATGTAAATAAAAGATAATTTTGGGGAGCCTGGGGGGCTGAATTGGTTAAGTACCTGCCTTTGGCTCAGGTCATGATCTCAGGGTCTTGGAATTGAGCGAGGCTTCCTGCTCAGTGAAGAGTCTGCTTCTCCCTCTCCCTCTGCCCCTCTCCCCTGCTCATGCATTCATTCTCTCTTTCTCAAATAAGCAAACTCTTTTAAAAAAAGATAGTTTGTCTGCTAGAATACTTTTATAAAAACATCAGAGTGAGTACCTTATTTTTCACCATTTTTAACTATCCCAATCACAGCTGTTCAACTTGTGAATCAAGATAAGGTATATGTGGCTGAGGTCCAAGAATCAGAGAAAGAAGAAACCTATGTAACTAAACAGTGTTTAATATTAATTACCTTTATAACACAGTACCAGGCCTTTTTGGGGATATGAACTGTTTTTCAACTGGAAGACAAGCCGTCTGGAAAAAGAACCATCACTGGTTGTAAAATAAAGCTTCACTGGACCTATTTTTGATATTTTACATGAACAATTTAATTTAATTCAGTAACTCTTTAATTTCATCAAATATCCAGGAAGTATGCAAATTTCCAATTGTGTCATAATTGTCATTTCTTTTACAGTTATTTAAATTAGGATCCAAATAAGTTCCACACATTGTGATTGATTGATATAACTCTTGTCTTTTAATCTATAGGATCCTCTCTCTCTCTCCCTGAATTTATTTGTTGAAGAAACTGGACCATTTGTCCTATAGCTTCCCAGCGTCTGGATTTTGCTGATTGCATTCCGGATATGTAGTTTGCAATGTCCTTGCACCTTCTGTATTTTTTGAAAATTGTTAGTTGGAACTACAAGCCTAGTCAGATTCAGGGTTTATAATTTTGGGTGGTGGCCGTGAAGGTAAGACTACCTTATTGGTGGTAGCATGTTCTTTATCAGGACACATATACATCTGGTTGTTTCCCTTTTTGTGATGTCAGCAGGTGTCAGTGTTTAATGCCTCCATCTCAATTCATTAGAGGTTGCGAAATGGAGATACTTTCTCATTCTTTATTCACTTATTAGTTGGACTACTTCTTCAATGAGAAACTTCCTCTCATCTACTGTATTAGTTTCCTGCGGCTGTTGAAATAAATAACCATGAACTTGGTGGCTTAAACACAACAGAAATTTATTCTCTTGCAGTTCTGGAGGCCAGAAGTCTAAGATAAAGGTATTGGCAGGGCCACATTCGTCCCGGAGGCTCTAGGGGAGACTCTGTTCCTTGCCTCTTCCAATTTCTGGTGGCTGCGGCATTACCTGTGGCTGCAACTATCCAGCTTCTACCACTGTGGTTACATTACCTCTTCCTTCTCTTTTGCTCACCTCTATGTATCTCTTATAAGGACACCTGTCATCAGATTTAGGGCCTACCAGGGTAATCCAGGATGATCTCCTCACAAACTCCTTAACATAATTATATCTGAAAGACCCTTTTTCTGGGGCACCTGAGTGGCTCAGTTGGTTAAGCATCTGCCTTCAGCTCAGCTCATGAGCTCCGGGTCCTGGGATCGAGCCCCGTGTTAGGCTCCCGGCTCAGCCCAGAAGTCTGCTTCTCTCTCTCCCACTGTCCCCACTCCTTCTCTCTATTTCTTGTTCTCTTTCTCAAATAAATAAATAAAATCTTAAGAAAAAACAGACCATTTTTTTTTTTTTTTTTACAAGTAAGGTAACATTCACAGGTTCTGAGGATTAGGACATGGACATTTTCTTTTGGGGGTCACATTCAACCCACGATATCTACCATTTGGTACTCGGTGGTAGAGTTCATGTAGGAAAGGCTAGATAAGTCCTTGATTAGTTTTCTTCATTTACCACTCTTCAAAATAATGAGTTAATTCCCCAGCATCCTCCAATAGTGACCAATTAGCATTTTCATGTTTCTTTAACAGTATTATAAATTAATGGATTTAAATATTTGATGTACTTCAACTTGCTATTAAGTTCTATCCTATTGGTACTCCAAGTGTCTCACGTTTGGCCAGTAGAGGCCTCTTCATGTTGGCTCCTAAAGTCTTTTTTTTTTTTTTTAAGACTTTATTTATTTATTTGTGTGAGAGAGGATGAGAGAGAGCACATGAGAGGGGGGAGGGTCAGAGGGAGAAGCAGACTCCCTGCCAAGCAGGGAGCCCGATGCGGGACTTGATCCAGGGACTCCAGGATCATGACCTGAGCCGAAGGCAGTCGCTTAACCAATTGAGCCACCCAGGCGCCCGGCTCCTAAAGTCTCTTGACACGACACCAGCAGTCTTTGGTATCTTCTGTTATGGGTTGAATTGTGTCCTCCAAAAAAGCGATGTTGAAATCTGAACCCCAGTATCTCAGAAAGTGACCTTATTTGGAAATAGGGTGGTCATTAGGGTAAACCCTAATCCAGTATGACTGGCATCCTTACAAAAAGGGGAATTTGGGACACAGAGACAGATATGCATAGAGGGAAAACAATGTAAAGACACAGGGAGAATGCCATGTACAGATGGAGGCAGAGATTGGAGGCATGCGACCATAAGCCAAAGAACACCAAGGATTGCAGGCCAACACCAGAAGCTGGGAAGAGGTGAGGAAGGATTCTACTTAGAGGGTCAGATACAGCATGGTCTCGCTGACACCTTGATTTCAGACTTCCAGGTTCCAGGAGTGTGAGAAAATAAATTTCTATTATTTTAAGTCACCCAGTTTGTGGGACTTTGTTACAATAGCCCAGGGAAACTAATACATCTTCCTTGTGACCTGTATGAAAAGATATTCTGGACTCATTTTGTATTAGGTTGGGCAATAATTGGCAATTTCCTCTGGCTCAAACTGATGTTTTTCTTGCTCTAATCCTGGAGTCAGCAATATCTGCAAGGAGCCTTGATTCCTTTTAGTGGAAAATGGTATTTCAAGATCATAATCTGAGAGCTAGAGATGCTCACAGTTGCTAGATTGGTCACTGTGTTTAGGCTCTTTCAGAGCTATGTATATTTTACAACTAAAACACTGGGTTTGGGTTTTGTTGTTTTTTAGAAAAAAGACATTTCTTGGTCCTGACCTGGACTCAGAATGAGACATTTCTCCAAGGAATACTGGTCTTGAAATGCCATAATTTAGGCATTAGGTGTACTCATTGCTACTGGATTGGTTATTCCTAGGCCTTTTCAGAGGCAGGGTAAAAAATAAGACAATGCATCATGATGCTTCTAATTCAAATTCGGGATTACAGAATTTTACTTATCTACTTGTATCTTACATCTGCATTTCCTTTCCTCCATGTTGGGAATCCTGGTTTTCAAGAACAATTAAGATGATATAATTAGAACATCACATAATTACTCATTTTATTTATCTCACATTTCACATTTAAAAAACCAGAATACATATACAAACATCATCACAGCAATACAGAGAAGAGTGAAAAAAAAAACTTTTCTATTTCTTTGTTTTTAGAAAATATCTCCCTACAGATGTATAGTCAAATTACTGTTTTTTAAAAATATTTTATTTATTTGAGAGAGAGAGCATGAGAGAGAGAGAGAGCACAAGAAGGGGGGAGGGGGAGAGGGAAAGGGAAAAGCAGGCTCCCCGTTGAGCAGGAACCCATGACCTGAGCTGAAGGTGATGCTTAACCTACTGAGCCACCCGAGCACCCCAAATTACTGTGTTTTAAGGTCTCTTGAAAAGGTTCCCCTCTGTGTGTTATGAAATATACTATTAGGTTTATTTGCTTCATTTTATTTCAGTTTTGAGACCATGTACAATTAATTTTATTTTATAAATAAGTTAATTTCATTTTATAATTAAGTGAATAGGTTTCCAGAGTCAAATATAAAAAATATATTTAAATAAGCCTAGTTTCTATTCCTGTCCTCATCATAATATTTTCTCCTTGTCCTTATAGGTAACCTTCCTTTAAAAAAAATTATGGTTTGGGGCGCCTGGGTGGCTCAGTTGGTTAAGCGACTGCCTTAGGCTCAAGTCATGATCCTAGAGTCCCGGGATCGAGTCCCGCATTGGGCTCCCTGCTTGGCAGGGAGTCTGCTTCTCCCTCTGACCCTCCTCCCTCTCATGCTGTCTCTCATTCTCTCTGTCTCAAATAAATAAATAAAATCTTTAAAAAAAAATTATGGTTTAATCTTTCCTTTTTTTTTTTTAATGTAAGCAAGTGTATGTACACACAATGTTATAGTTCCTCTTTTCTTAGATGGTAGCATACAAAGAACACTTATCTCTACTTGCTTTTCTCACTTAACACTGTATCCTGAAGATTAGTCTATAGTGGTATATAGAGATATTCCTCATTCCTTGTTATAGCTGTATAGTATTTCACTGTGTGCAAGTACCATAGTTTATTCAACCAATCCCCTTATATGGACATATCAGAGTGTTTCCTTTCTTTTGGTGCTACAAGCAGTCCTATAATTGAATAGTCCTGGGCATATACCTTTTCATATTTCTGCTACTATATCTGTGGGATAGAGTCCTAGAATTGGCATTGCTGAGTCAATGAACAAATTCATATATAGTTTTGCTAGGTATAATTGTACACATGTATAACCAAGCAACTTGATGAATTACAATGATAGATCAGCATTTAGCTTAAAGAATTTTTTTTTTCCAGAATTATTTGAGAGAGAGAGAGGGCGAGCATGCATGAGTGGGGGTGGGGGGAGGGGTAGAGAGAAAAGAAGCAGACTCCTCGATGAACGTGGAGCTCAACACGGGGCTCAATCTCATGACCCTGAGATCATGACCAGAGTCGGAAATCAAGAGTCAGAGGATTAATCGACTGAGCCACCCAGGTGCCCCTTAGCTTAAGGAATCTTATCTCACAACAGCATATATTATATTTACATACAAAAATTACTCTGTATACTCACCACTTAAGTTATCAAAATTTAGCCAAACTTTTTGTGGATAAATTAATCATCAACCACTGGCAGCATTATTAAAATCTCATAGGAGTGTTCTATAAAGTGAGTTAAAAAGATCTTTCCCTTGCTTTGATGTTGTTAATGTAACTTACCATTAATAATAAAAACATCCACCCAATACTTACCAAAGCACTTTCTAGTACCTTTGATCTTCCCAACAATCCATATTTCATCTTATCAAGCACAGAGAAGTTTAGTTACTGCAGAAGGTCTCACAGTAAGGTAATGGCATTGTCAAACCTGACTGCACAGATTCTGCACTAAGTTATTTTTGCTAAGCCACCACTAACTGGCTTATATTTCCATATACAAAAAATGATTGCAAGTTAGTTGCTGTTTTAAGACATGAAGTAGCAATTTTAAACTGTAAGTTAGAAGGAAGAGAACATTAAAAAAAAGTTAAAAAAATCTCAGTACATGTATAAAAGTAATTGGTATGGCCAGTAATTTCTTTTTATACACTGCATCAAACATCAGTGCATGTGGAAATCAACAGGTGTTTTTGTTTTGTTTTTGTAAAGGCCTAAAAAATATGTGAATTCTGAATATAATTTTTTGGTAGTACTGAAATACAGTGCTTTTAATATCTTGAATGAATGCTGTCATTATGCACCATACAATAGGGGCTTTCATTAGGATTGTTAAGCTTGAGTTACAAGATCTTCCCTCTTCATTTCTGTTTTCTCCAAAAGTGCCCAGTACTATTGAGTATATAAGGGCTGCATGATTCCTAAATATGCCAGATAATTAGCTTTATTGATCTATCTATCTATCTATCCATATTTAAGAACATGGAAACTAAAGGTAAGTTACATAATGAGATTTTAGTTCAAGCTAATTTCCATGAGCAGTCTTTTTAGATTTTTTTTCTTTCTTGGCATTGTTGCTGAAATAGTCATTTGGACAGTAAAACATTTTAATGTTTGGACATATAAGGTTTGGTGTCATTTTGTTTATGGTATATTAAAATTTATGCACTAAATTTTTCCGTTGCTTCTTTTGTTTGGCAGTTATCCAGTGTTTAGTCAGAATATTAACATTAAAAGAAAGAAGTAACTTTTATTGTCCAGTACAAAACACTTAGAAGTAAAAAAAAAAAAAAGATTCATTACAAAGAAAGAGATCACTATATGTATCTGTTTAAATACACGGCTGTTACCAAGTATGAGTTCACAAACTGAAAATCCAGTGTAAATGTTTCAAACATGGTACAAGGAGCTGCTAAAATTAGAAAAGTTATTTAAGCTCCCCTCCCCCAAGAAAAAGTTCAGATAAAAACAATTTAAGTATAACGCTAAATCTAGTCTTACATGGGAGGAGCTTTCTATTCATAGATTTCCAGTTTTGTGAATTAAACAGCTGTAGTCTCCAAATTATTCAGACCCAGTATTTTGTTGCAAGACAGGAAATGTCTCTTTCTGAAACTAAACTGGCTGGCACACATATATAATGATTGAAGGCATATTACAACTGAATGAGGAATGGAAAACAGTAAATTGGATGGAATCCATGGTGGTTAGTTAAATGCCAGGCACACTGGAGAAAGAAGGGAAGAGATCTGGGTCAGTATTAGTCAAGTGCTTCAGCACTGTTACAATTTAAAGTGTGTAAAAACAGAGGCCATCTCAGAGCCTCGGAGAAGTATGAAGTATGTCATAAGGAGTCCAGAACTGGGTTTTCTGTCTTTTTAATCCAGTAACTGTATTTTGTTACTTCACAGGTCAGTCTCAATCAGAGCAAAATGGTGACTAATCCCCTTGGGAATAAGTCCATGGAGAATAAATCTCATAGATTCTAACCCATGTTTTGTATGCAGTGGTCTTTATCTTAACTGATGGCAAAACATTTTATCATTTAGTCAAGAATACCAAGGGGTTAGGGAAGAAAATGAGGTGGAAGGTGAGGGATTCCAAGTGCAAATACTTGGTAGTATGTATACATAAAGAGGTAAAAAGAAGTCCTAATAAGCCAGTACCAGTAGTGGTACTGTTTAGTATAACTTTTCGGGCTAATGGTCACCTGAATATTAAATGAATTACAAAAGGTGATGGAACCCTATTTTTACGTATCAAGAACACTATGATTTCCTAGGACTGTTTTTTAAGTGCCTTCACGCAGGAAGCCGTGCAGGGAACTGAAATGCAACTGGTAAGGCAAGAACGTAGGATCAGCTGTGTTAAAAGAAATCTCAAAATTAATTGATATTCTCTATGCCCATCACAAACATACCGACAACTTCCCATTTCTGAGTATTAATGGCCTCTGCTTTCTCTAATTTCTTCCTTCAGGTCCTGGCACGTTGCATCTTTTCCTCTCTCTGGTAGTTGTCTTTGAGATTTTCCAAATATGCTTTCAGTTGCATACAACTTTGACATTTCGTTTTGGTTTATGAAGATAAACTCCCTCACTTGTCCAGACTACATTCCATGTCTCTCAAAATTCCCAGGGACAAAGAGAATTAGGTACTGTGAGTTCTGCCTTCTAAACAGAATTCTCTGTTCTGCGTGAAATGTTGCCATAAAGGCGGGATTTGCCTGAGCAGAGCAGGTCAACGCCTTTTGATTTATACTCCAAGACATGGACTTCTTTTGCCCGCTCTCTCGCAGCGAGAGGCCACGAGAGTTGGTGGGTCAAGGGGAAGTATTTCAGATGTTAGTCATTACACGCAGGCCATGTGGTTACAGAATTTTGGCAGTATTTTAAAAAGAGGGGGAGGGGTAAACGTTATCGTGCTGTCATAATCCAGTGGCTCGTGTTTCGCTTATTGTTTTGCATTTCCACCACCGTTATAAGTCACTTAAAGTACTAGTAGGCTAGTAGGTGGCCGAACCTTGGGGAAACTTAAGCCCAGAAACTTTTAGCTGTACTGGTGGAGACAACTCAGCCGGTTCAGGGGTTACTAATTCTGAAATGTGTTAACAGTGGGCCCAAATCAGCTTTCTTCCCGTTTAGGAAGACGTACACAATTTTGCAGGCGAAAGGCCCATCCTTCAGGAGAGCAACGAAAGCCTCAGAGCTTGAAGTCCAAAGACTAGCTCAAGCCCCGAGATGACTCCGCATTTAAAACTCTGCCCCGAGTCCGAGCGCTCCCGGGGCCGGAAGCGGGGACACGTGACCGGTCCTCCGCAGCCATTGCTAGCGAGGCAGCCGCCACCACCCCTTCCATATTTTCTAGCTTCTCTAGCGCCGGGAGACGCAGAAACACCTGACAAGAGTCGGTCCCAGGTAACTCTGGACTGGAGTGTCACCAGAACTCATGCCTTTTCTAGCAATGCCTTGCAAGTCCCTCACCCGAAAAGAGCTGTGGGACACTTCCGCCTGGGTGGCAACCACGTGATCACGCGAGACTTGGGGAGCGGGCAAGCCGACTTGACTACTCCAGTCCCCTGACTCCGCCCGCCCTGCACCCTCCACGGCGCGTGACGACGCGGCCCACGGCGGCCTCCGCCCCGGCGCGCCTGCGCACGCGGCTCTCGCGGTGTCTCGCGCTCAGCCCCGCCCACCCCTGCCCCCGCCCTTTCCGCCCCTCCCTCCCCCTCCGCCCTGTCTCTCGGCGGCAGCGGCGGCGGCGGTGGCTCGCGCAGCTCGTTGGCTCACTATATAAAGGGGAGAAGCGGGCGGACCGGACGGCTGGAGCTGCAGCCGGTGGCGGCAGCGGCGGCGCGGGGAGCGGCGACCGGTGGTGGTTTCCCTCCTTGGTGCGGGGTGGGGAGCCGGCAACGCCCCCCGGACCCCAGAAGGGTCGTGGCTTTTTTTTTTTCAGGGCGATTCTCGAGGTTTTTAGCTGTGGGAGGACTGCCCCCCTCCTCCTCCTCCTCTCACCGCTCCCCTTTACTCTTTCAGGATTCGATTTTGTTTGAAATTTTTACCCCCAATCTTGCGGTGGCTTGGGCCACCCTCCGGGTTTTTTGGTTTTCTTTTTTTCTTTTTTGGTTTTGTTTTTATCCTGTTTTCTTGGGCTTGCCCCCTCTTGTTTGTGTTGTGTGTGGAAATGGCGAACTCGGCAAATACAAACACCGTGGTAAGGACGTGGTTTGGTGGCCGGCGGGGGCTTCGTCCGGGCGGCAGCAACGGCCGGACCGGGCGGGGGCGGGGACGACGGCGGCGACTCCCGGCCTCTACTCTCCTCAGCCGCCCGCGCGGCCGCCGCCGCTTCCCGCCTCGGGCGGAGCGGGCCGGGGCGGCGGGCGCGGGGGGGCGCCTCGGGCTCGCGGCGGTGGCGGCGGGAGGGCGGGGGCGCCGGCGGGGCCTGGGGCCGCCGCGGGGCGGTCCGGGCCGCGGAGGCCGTTGGGCCGGGGCGAGCGCGCGGCCCTGGCCCCAGACCCCGGCCGCCGGGAGGGAGGGCGCATGGGAAGCCGCCGCTTCCTCCCTGAAGCGGGCTCGGCCGCGCTGTCTCGAGAAGGCACCCCGAGCAGCCTCAAAACAAAAACCGCGTCTGGGGAATTGGGCGAGTCCACAAGACCCACCGTGGTCCACTTCAATGCAGTGGAAGGTGAACGGCTTACTTGAGGGGTTACTTGGGGTGTTTCTGGCTGTTGTGCTTAGGGAGCCTTCACTGGGGCCATTTTATATTTCTTAAAAAAAAAAAAAAAAAAAAGACGAAGGTTGAAAAGCACTTATCTCGGTTCCTTCCGAATCGGTAAAATGGCGAAGGGGAAGCAAAACCCCCATCGTATCTTCCACTAGCAAAAGCACCAAAGCAAACAAAAAAAGCTTACAGTGGTCAAAGTGCCCCTGCTTTCGCCTTGAAATTTGCCTACTTCTCCCCATTTGTCCCTTTTTGGTTACTTGCGATCACGTAGGTTTGCAAAAAGCAGTCACATAAATAACCTTGTCAGTCACCAACGCAATGTGATCACTAGTCCACCCCACTCTTATTTTTATTCTGACATAAAACACGTTTTTGCCCGGTCCCAAACGCCGCAGACAAGCCCGCGGCCGCCCGACTCCGTACCGTTGGCGACTCGGGTCGATCCATCATGGCTGCGGCCGCTTACCCTGCTTTTCAGTCCCTGAGCCTTGTGGTCCTCCTCCCTTTGGCTGCCCTGTTTATATAGAGCCATTGCCGCTCTCTAATATAGACTCTGCCAGGATGGGAAGGTGCTTTTCAGGCCTACGTCACCGCCTCTCCATTTAAACACTAGATCCGGCTTTAAATAGTGAGAGCTGCTGAGAGCGGGGCTGGGAGGTGCGTGCTCCCGAGGCGAGAGGCAGGAGCGTGCAGAGCTCAGTTTATTTCTAGGTCCTTTCCTTACGCTGTAATTTCGCACCCAACAGGGCAGCTTTCAGAGTCCCAAGTTTTTTGTTGTTGTTTTGGTGCAGCAGCTAGGGTTTCCTGTCTTTGTTAGGGGAAAATAGAATTGCTGTACCTTCCTTTTATTTTTATTTTTGCTTTTAAACAGAATTGTGGCTCAGCTGTCTAATCGTTTTTGTATTGGAAAATGCGTTATTGTCGGGAATTTAAAAAAAAAAATGCTTCCTACATGAACTGTTAGCTGCAGGGTATACTTGACTTTGGTAGTGTTCTGTTCTTCAAGTATTCAGAAAATATGTTAGAAATAAAGCTTCTAATATGCCGTTGTTTTTCTATATTAAATGGAGACACGAAGCTTTTTGAAGAAATAAAGTGTCTAAAGCCTCAACATAGGACCTTATGTACACAGTACATTTATGTATAGGCGAATTGTGAGTAATGAGAATATAAGGAGGCTTAGTGCAAACTGGATCTCAAAAAAATTGTAAGTTGGCAGTATTTTTATTTCATTGGATATTAATATTCTAGATGGAAGTTAATCTGATTTACTTTCCAGTGTTCCCCCAGGGAACTAACACTTTGGAAAGGAACCTTCTAAATAATCATTAGATAGTGACAGTCATGGCTCTTTAATTTACCAGTTTGGAATATCTGTGTTTTGAAAACCAGGACAAACCTAAATTACTCTGTATTTTGTTAAAAGGCAAAAACTTTGGCTTAAGTAAGGTTTAGCATTTTAAATAACTTGGAAATTGCTTATTTCAGGGAGTGCCTATGTACCCCCATGCTTTTAAAAAACATGAGTATTATGGTGGCTTATCAACTTATGAACAGTTCTGCTAAATTATTGTGTATATGTCATGAAGAATACACATTTCCCTTTAGAGCTTTTATGAAATTAAATGGTCAAATTGTAGGTTAACTAAGGTGCATAAGCAAAATCCTAAAACAAGATAAATTCATTAAATAGGGAGTGCCAGAAGAAAGCAAGTTTTGTAGCTGTAAATGTCTGGATCTCCAAGCTGAAGATTTTTAGGAGTGATTGACTTCAGAAAACACCAAACATCCAGTTTGCTGAAAAAATAATTTATATCATCAACTTAAGATTCATAGTAACAATTTAAAATTACACCACCTCTTTATAGTGCATTAAGAATTATTATTGGCTTAAAGAAAACCACTTTTTAAATGTTATTTTTGTAATTCAGTGGTTAAATCACCATAGATAAAATGATACTTATAGTCAGTGACAATTTCCTTATATATAGAATCAGAATGTTAAAATAAGGAGGCCTTATAGAGTTTCACATTTTGCACATGAATAACTTAAAAGTTTACACAGGCAGATTTGGTAAAATAAAGCAGGTTAGTGAGTGGAATAGCAAAGGTGAGAACCCAGATATATGAATTGTTTATCTGGTTGTGGTGAAAAGGAGCAAATTTTAATGGTTGAGGTAAGTTATACAGAGGAACTCATTATTTGTAGTTTTGGCAGTGTAAGAACACATTTTCTTAGAGGGTTCTCCTGTGATAACAGTATTGCTGTTAGAGATGCTAGTGAAACATTTGTCTTTGAGGTTTGGTTATGAGAGCAAACCCTTGGTTTTATTGGGTAACTAGTAGTTCTTACCTTAAGCAGGCTATAAAACACAAATAATGACAAACATTAAAAGAAAAAGGCTGATAACCTTAACTGTGTGTGATAACGGATAGGATTTATAACAAGACAGCTCTAGTTTTATCACACTGACATGCAGACTTCTTGCCTAACACGTTAAAAATAGGATGTGGGTTGGGCAAATTACTATTACCTTTTGATTTTTAAAAAATACTTTATACTTTTGAAAGTGCTTTCACATTTATTCTCCTTTTATTCTTCTGGCAACCTTCGAGAAACAATCGTCTCCTCCAACCCTTCCCAAGTAATACCAACAATAATAGTAATAATTAGAAAACATTGAGGTTGTCCATGATTCTATTTCATGGCATCGTCTAGGCAGTAGTTGAAGGAAAGAAATCCTGGGAAAGAAGTCAGTGTGTCTTGTGCATCTGGGGCTTTAAGACCTGTTATTGTGGGTATATGAACGTTTAATGGTGTAGCTTAAAGGCACAGACTGGTTGACAGAAAATAGAAATTACGTGATTTTTAAATTAGATTGCAGATAATATCAGGCAAATGACTGCAGGACGTAAGTTTAAGGCTTAGTGAGGAGGTTGTGAGATCTAACAAGTCAAAGGAAAGAATAATAGGAACCAGTTATAAGCAACCCATAAGGCTATTTTTTGGGTCACATTAGGTGTTTTGATTATAACAACATAGGAAATTTTAACTGGAAATTGTGTGGACCTTGTATGTGTAAGGACTTCCTGTGTATGAATTGCATTAGTATTTAAGACTTCTTTTAAAATATGCAGTCATAAAATAATCCATTTTAATTGAAGCAAATGATGTTTGTTAGGATGGCCATATCTTTAAAGTTATATTTTCTAAAATAAATTTTGATTAGTTGGAAAAATGACTTGTATTATATTTAATTTGTTTTGAATATGTGAAAAATGATCTTTTTCAACATTTTTATTTTTCCTTTAAAGCCTAAATTGTACAGATCTGTGATTGAAGATGTTATTAATGATGTGAGAGACATCTTTTTGGATGATGGAGTTGATGAACAAGTTCTTATGGAACTAAAAACTGTGAGTTTGCCTCTTGTTGTTGTTTTAATAGTCATACTTTTTTTTTTCCCCCCCTTAAAATACTCTCTTTAGCCAGAGACTGATCCATAATTTTTCCATGGGATGAGCATTCAACTTTGCTGCAGGAGGCAGTGTGTGGATAGGTGAAGGAGGCTAGCTTTAGATAGCTCTACCATCCATCCTTCCTCTGCTCTTAGGCACACTGTATTTCAGTTTCATTATGTGTGATATGGGAATTGGTCAGACTTACCTTACAGGTTTGTTTTGAGAATTAAATATAATAACCATATGAAGTGCTTAAGCACAGTGTCTGGCAATAGCATTCACTATTACTAATGGACTGTTAACATTGTATATTTATGGTCTAATTATTTGACATACCTGTAGTTTTGTTTTTTCCCCCCTTTTTTTAATGGTCTTAATGTACCTGTATTCTAGAAAGTGTTGTGGAGATTAAATAAGTGCTTGATAAAATAATTTTATGTTCTCTTTTTTTTTTTAAGATTTTTATTTTATTTATTTATTTGAGAGAGAGAGAATGAGAGACAGAGAGCACGAGAGGGAAGAGGGTCAGAGGGAGAAGCATACCCCCGCTGAGCAGGGAGCCTGATGTGGGACTCGATCCCGGGACTCCAGGATCATGACCTGAGCCGAAGGCAGTCGCTTAACCAACTGAGCCACCCAGGCGCCCTAATTTTATGTTCTTAAGTCTGATTTTTTTTTTTAATGTGGACCAAATATTAGGTTTATGATGTATTTGACATTGGGAGCTGGTTATCTGTCTCTTGGATTTCTTTGGATTTAAGCAGGAATAATTAGATATTTTTATTTAGCATTTGTGTTTTCTTGGTGTTGTAATGACTCATGAGATTATGGAATATTTTTGCCTTATTGCTCAGAACAGTGGTTCTCAAAATAAGGTCTCTGGAGTCCTGAGGTTTCCCCACAGATTGTTTCAAGAGGTCCATGAGGTTGGCCAGATGCCCAAGTCTGAATAATCATAGTTTGTCATATTTTCAGTAAAAGTTGTGTTCTGTGGCCAGTTAAACTTGCTACCCAAATGCACTGAGTACTTTTCCTTGAGATAACTGTTCCATATCCACAGTGCTTTATGTATGCTTCCCATTTTGATGCAGTGAATATTAAAAGGATGTGTACTGAGGAGTCGAGATGAGATCACTGTTAATATTAAGAAATGCGATTATTTGATATTCTTTAATGAAATGTGTTAATATTTGGAATACTGCATAATTCACTGAACTTATATTTTCTAAATGACCAATGCATGATGTTGCAAAATCCCTTCAAAGTGAAAGATAAATTAATGGATTTTAATCTAAAAGTATGAAAAGTTCATTGGTGTATGGTTTCAGATTCTACATTGCAGCTAACTTTAAAGAAACCATCACTTAAAATACTTCTTCTTTTCCCAGCTGTTTAGGTGTGCAAAGACAGATGTTCTTCATATATTCAACCAAAGTAATAAGATGGTTGTATACGCAGATAGGAGAATCTAGCTATTTTTCCTTTAAGCTATTTGTCACTAAATTTGATTTGGTTATTTTTGTTAAAAAATGTATTATTTATGTTAACATGTGATGGATACATTGCTGTTTTTAAATGAATTTGTAAACAAACAAAAAACCCAACTTAGTTAATAATTTCATAAAAGCTCTTTGAGGTTCTCAGTAATTTTTGAAAGTGATGAAGGATCCTGAGACTCAAAAGTTTTAGAACTGCTGGCTTAGAAATTGGGTATTGAGCTCCTTGAGGACTGTGTACAAATAAGTAATCATAATTAATGTTAAGAACATTTGTTTTGTTATCATTTATCTATTCAGTGGAAGTGTGAGGCTGCAGTTTAGGAACTTATTTTAAATAAAGTGAACCTCACCTTTATGGTGATGAAATCTAAGAGTATTTAGGCATCTGTGGGTAACTTCTGTGGAGTTTTTGATAAGAATCTGCCTGTGTGAGGAAGGAAAAATACATACATTTAAGTGAAATGAGGAAATTTGTATTTACCTTGAGAGAAATGTAATGGTTATTAAAAGTGAAGAGTAGGCATCCAAAAATACAAGTGAAAGAATGCCAACTCTTGAGGCCTGAGTTGGAAGAATGGCAATATAAACTGCTTAAATAGCATAAAGTATCTCAGGATATGAATAAGAGAATAAGATTCCTTTGCGTTATGTGGAGCAAATACTTTGCAGTTTATCTTACACTCATATAATGGTTGTCCTTGAAGTACTTTGACCTTATGTAGAAGATACAACATTTTTAAATGTAGAAAATCAGTTCCAAAGTCTTTAATCTACCCTAAATCAAACTAGCAGTCAATCCAGGTTGTTTGTTATCTACTCTTGTAGATAACAAGTGTGGGGAATTGATTTTTCCTACTGGTCCCAGTAGAATTAAAGGATTCTCTCCAAAGAGAAGGAGATGTCTTTGAGATTAAATAGATCTACCTGTATTTTTATTACATTTGACTGTTCAAATATATATTAGTGTAATATATATATAATGTAGTATATATGAATATTATATATGTTTTATACATTGATTTGTTTGATGGCTAGTTTTTAATGATAAAAATGGTGAATTATTCTACTTTGAATCCCTAGCCTCTGTAGAGCACAGTGCCTTGCATATGTGGTTGGTATTCAGTAAATATTTAATTAAATTAGTTAATAACAAACATGGCTCCAGAACCATGTAGTTCCATGTAACAGCCAGTAACAGAACAAAGTAGTTTAATATTTTTGCTGTTTTTCAGATGGAGCATACTCTTCTATTGTGGGTTGTAACTGGATTTAAAAATAAACTGTTGGGGCGCCTGGGTGGCTTAGTTGGTAAAGCAACTGCCTTCGGCTCAGGTCATGATCCCAGGGTTCTGGGATCGAGCCCCACATTGGGCTCTTTGCTCAGCAGGGAGCCTCTTTCTCCCTCTCCCTCTACCTACTATCCCACCTGCTTGTGCTCTCTCTCTCTGTCAAATAAATAGAAAATCTTTAAAAAAAAATAAAACTCTTATACTAAATTGAGTTTATGTTATTTTAATTCTCTGTACTAAATTTCTTCAGGATCCCATTAGAATTTCCAGAATGTGCCCTATCTGTGGTGATAAATGTTCCGTATCTGTGCTCTCCAGTATGGTAGCCACTAGTGACATGTGGCTATTAAGCACTTGAAATGTAGTTAATGGAACTGAAGAACTGAAATTTTAATTATAATTAATTGCAATTTAAATCACCATGTGTGGCTGGTAGATATTGTATTAGACTCTATAGGTTTAGACATTCTTGCTGACAAAAACTAACATTAATTTTGTGTTTTATGGTTTACAAAGGACCTTGTCATTAGTTCTAGCCCCTTCCTCCCCACTTTTTGGCTGTTTCACAGGCTTATCAGAAACTTCACCACTGCTGTGAAGGATGCAATGGTGAATTAGATGATGAATTAAGATGAGTAATAACTGTGCATGTAATTTGAAGTTTAACCAGATAATGCTGGAAGAGAGGCGATTAAAAAAAGTCAACCCAATTCTCAGAGGTTATCTCTTGAAACACTTTGGACCTACTTTAATGTATAAACTATGGGAGATAGAAAAAAACACCTAAAACATAGTCTTGATAGTCCTTAATCTGTATTTGAATGTAAATTGTGTTTTGGATTAGTGAGTAATTGTGGGTGGGAATGACCGTCTGTCTACAAATCCTGTTCAAAGTGAATGATGAAATCATCCTCATTTCTACACTGTGAGACCTATCCATATCTAAACAGCAAGTACCTATAAAACATGACCTCTCTCCTCAGTAAAATAAAGTGAGAAGAATTTCCTCAATTGGAGACAAATCTGAAACTCGGTTTATTGGTCTCTAGATCAGGTTTGTCAGCCTTGGCACTGCTGTCATTTGTTGATTCTTTGTTGCAGAGAGCTCTTCTGTTCTTTGTAGAATGTTAACAGCATCCCTGGCCTCTGCCCCCTAAATGCCAGTAGTACTGCTCATTTCTGACGACCAAAAATGTCTCCATGCATTGCCAGATGTCCCTGGGGAGCAAAACCACCCCTGATTGAGAACCGTTATTCTAAATATACTCTAGTTATATATAAACACTTGGGCCATAACTTGAACAATAATCTGTTACGTTCTATTTCATTCATCCTTGGGGAAAACGCTGTACCCCAACCCCATTTCAAGGGAGCCCAGAAATGCAGTTTTCTTGTATTTATTCAGGAGCTAGATGTTTTGTGAAAGTAGAATCCTTCAAATTTCTAGCCTGGCAAACTGCCAGGAAATAGTAGATTTAATCGCAAATTTGTAGATCAAAAAATAGACTCAGAGGGAATATCCTTTGATAAGGTCATTTAGCAAATGATAGAGACTTGAACGTAGGCCTTTTGTCTCCAGATGACATACACAATAACCAGTAAAAAGGAAGGTACCAGAGTTGTGACTAGACCTTTTGTAATAGCAGCAGTATACTGTAGAGATTAAAACTTGGACCAGAGCTGGGATTAGGATGAGGCAAGCGAGGGGTCTAGGGTGTAGAATTTAAAGGACATTCAGTCTTCACTCTCAGGGTCCAGGTTCCTTGACTGGGAACACTGGAGTCAGACTGCCTGGATTATTTCCCACTTTTGTCTGCTACGAGTTGGTGGTCTTAGATAAATTAACTTACTGTTCTTCAGGTTCTTTTTCTGTAAAAAGGAGATAGTAACAATGTCTGTGTTAGAGGATTTTGTAAAAATGAGTCTGTACGTGTAAAGTTACTCGCAAAGTACACAGTAAGAATACAATACAGGATTAATCTAGTTAATATGATCTATAGATGTACATTAGAGCCATTTGGGGAACAGAAAATGAGTTTTCTCCATGTCTAATTTCAGAGACCTGGCAAAGATTGATGAAATAGGATTGCCAAAAATAAAAGCTACTGTGTTGGAGGGAAAATAGTATTATAAAAATAAAGAGAATTCTTCTGTTTCCTACGCAAAATAAATAAATACATAACAATTCAGTATTCTTGATTGTTGTCAGTAGTATTAATATGATCACTGTTGCCGAAAACAGTATTGCATTGTTTGTTTTAAATAGCTGATATTTAAAAAACAGTATTTTGATAAATACAATTAAAATCATAAAGAAGAAATTGGATTAAAACATTTAGCTGATTTGAATTTTATATTATTTGATATTATAAGTTTAATGCTAAGTATTTGTACAGTACTATATTTGTGTTTTTCACGTTACCTAGGATAGTATTTGGTACTTAGTAAATGTGGCTTCTCAATAGACTACTCCAACACCCTTTTTTCCTCTGCTGCCTACCCAGCCCCAGCAGTTGGAAATGTGTGGGGCCATGTTTGCTTGTCTTAATGACTAGTGGGCACCTTTGGCATTTAGTCAGCTACAGCCAGGAATGTTGTTTTTTCTGTACACTTCCTGTGGCACTACCCTGTACAATAAAGAATTGTCCTGGCCAAAATGTCAGTAGCATCCTTACAGAGAAACATTATGCTAGAAAACAACAGTTTGTTTTCCCTTTTCTTCTTTGAAATTACTAAATGTCTGATAAGTTCTTAGTCATTTTGTTAACTCCTGAATAAGTCTCTGCCTTGAAGGAGTTCATACTTCAGTAGAGAAGGTAGACTTAGTGTGAAAAGTATGATAGAAATATTTCTAGGGTTTGGAGGCAGTGAGTGATTTCTCTTGAGGCTGTGTGACTTTGACGTTTCCATTGTTTAGGGAATCATGAGGGAAGACTACTAGTCGGAATAGTTTACTAAGATTTAGACACGAGATATGTATGGTATATTCAGGGAACTGCAAGTACTTTGACACTGTTAGGAAAGTAGAATGCAAGTTACAGTAGCAGAGAAGTAACATAATTCTGTATTAAGGAGCTTGATCTTTACGTGAGAAAGATTCTCTGCGGTGCTAGTTAAAATGCAGATTTTTGGACCTCTGCTCCAGAGATTCTGACCTGATAGAGGCACAGTCTGACATTTTCTTTTTAATTCAATAACATATACCAAAAAATAAAAAAAAATTAAATTGACTTTTAACAACCCACTAATGGGTTGCAGTGTGCACTTTGAAAAGCATTGGTTTAGACTTTAATAGCGTGCATTAAAGTGACCTGGACAGGTTATTAAAACAGATTTTTGGCTCCATCCCCAGAGTTGCTGAGTCAGTAGGTCTGGCGTGGGGCCTGAGAATTAGTATGCCTAACAAGTTCTCAGGTGATGCTGATGACCACATTTTGAGGACCACTGATTTATAGAGGATAGATTGGAAGAGCAAGTTTTCACTACAAGGTAGACCCTGTGAGGAGGAGGATTTTTGTCAGGTTTGTTCACTGTCTGTTCTCAGTGCCTCTAATAGTGTCTAGTACATAGGAGATCTCAGGAATCATTTGTAGAATTTATGACTTGATGTGGGGAGCTCAGTGGGCTTAGTCATTACACTTTATGGTAGTACTGGTGAGAGGAAAGGACTTGAACCAGGGCCATACCAGTAAGGATAGATTGGAACAATGCTTTCCCCTGCTCAGCAGGAAGCCTGCTTCTCCCTCTCCCATTCCCCCTGCTTGTGTTCCCTCTCTCGCTGTCTCTGTCAAATAAATAAATAAAATCTTAAAATTTTTTTTAAAAAATCATGGTTTAAACAACTGTATCTTAAAGCATATAAACAATGGTACCTTGATTTTTGGTTTACCAGAGGCCAGGTTTTGTTTTGTTTTAGAACACACAAAAGAAGTGTAGAAGTTTTGGGTGAATGCAGACTGTTCAGGAACCTTTGTATGAAATATGTTAGTTGGAATGTATTTTATTCAGTGTGTAAGTGTCCGTTTTGTCCTGTGTGCTATGCTAGATGCCTACTCTACAGAGATGAACCAGATACAACTTGAGCTCTCAGAAAATAATTCTTTGTTACCCTAGGAGGAACTCTAGCTGTTTTTAATTTGAGATTTTTCAGAGACTTAGATTTCTTAGCTGGAAGTGATTTTAGAAGTAATTCAATTTGTCCTCTTTTTATTTTTATTTTTAAAGTTTTTTTTTTTTTTAAGATTTTATTTATTTATTTGACAGAGAGAGACACAGGGAGAGGGAGAACCGGACTCCCCGCTGAGCAAGGAGCCCGATGTGGGACTCGATCCCAGGACCCTGGGATCATGACCTGAGCCGAAGGCAGATGCTTAACGACTGAGCCACCCAGGCGCTCTGTCCTCTTTTTAGATAAAGAGGAAAATGCCCAAGAAAGATACATAATTTGTCCACAAAGCCGAATAGTGGCCAAACCAGGACTGTGTTTCTTACTTTTGGTGTAATGCTCTATTACACTATTAATAGCACCACAACCGTAATAATGAAAACTAACATTTATTGGTCACTGAGTTTATGCTAGATTCTGATCAACGTTTTGCATAAATATGTTACTGAGTCCTTACAACAACCCGTGAGAGAGAGATTGTTACTCTCTCTATAAGAATAGGCTTCAGGCAAATCTAAATAGCTTGCTAAGGGGAATGGTTGCTTTGGGAGATTGACCTTTAGTTTACTTTTTTAGCAAGCCATTAGAGATATGCTGGAAATGTTATTAGCATGTAGCTACAAATATACAATTTCTAGAACAGTTGGAAGTGTTGGAAGATGATAAAGATCATTGTGAGTATGGTAAAAGGATCCTTTTTGAAGGATCTGATAGAAGTCTAAGGTGTGTTAGGCAATATTCCACGAGCATATCCTAGGGGAGAAAACAAAATGTGTGTAGGTGCTAGGTGCTTGTGTACAAAATGACTGAATTATTATTTTTAAAATATTTTCTTTGAGAAAGAGAGAGTACAAGTGTGCTCAAGAGTGGGGGCGGGGAGGGGGGAGGAGGGACAAACAGACTGTGCAGAGCCTAATGCCAAAATCAAGAGTCGGACGCTTAACTGACTGAGCCACCCAGGTGCCCCCAAAATAACTGAATTACATTTCATTTGTATATCTGAAAAATGGTTTGTTTCTTTCTTGGGCAATTTATTATAAGGGTTGAGGTTCTCCACATTGAACACTAAGTCTGGTAGAGAGGAAATGTGTTAGGGAAAAGTATGAAATAGTCATAAATATTTTATTTTCTGTCTTTTGCCCATGTCTGATTTTTTTTTTCCCCATTGTAATAGCTGTCCTAGGGTGAGAGGAGAAAATAGAGAAGTGGCAAAGCAAAAAAGGATTGTTATTCCTTGTCATGATGGAAGATGGGGGAGAATTTCAAAAGGTGTGGAGGGTTGAGAGTGCCTCTAAAAGCATTGGGCATTGCTGTTTCTTTTTTCTTGCATAGGATCAGACAGATGGAAAGTTAGGCTTTTCTAACTTGAGGATTGCCTCTGTAACGTTTCTCATTGTTCAGATCAAGAAAAGATGAATTTATGTTTTATATGTATAATTTAAAAATTAGATATTTCATTAAAGGGAGATTTCCATGAAAATAGTGAAGAATTGATTTGATGTTAAAAAAAAGGTAATCTTTGATTATTAAAAAATTGCTTATATGAAATTCTGCCTGGGATTACTAAGGAATTACTGAAGAAAGTTTGAAGATATAAAAAGAAACAAAATTTTTCATTACTCCAAAGTAGCAAAAAATAAATTTGATACTTTAAAATTAATTTTCATTATTGTATATACTTGGGTAAGAATTAGATTGGTTTATTAGAGATTGGTTTTATCAGTTTTGAAAATGAAAGAATTTTATAAACAGATTAGTAAAATATGGTTTGTCCACATGTTCAGAGTTATCTTCACTAACATTCACTTAGAATGTTCCTTACTTTTCTTTGCCTTAGTTGTGGGAGAATAAACTAATGCAGTCTAGGGCAGTAGATGGATTTCATTCGGAAGAGCAGCAGCTTTTATTGCAAGTTCAGCAGCAGCATCAACCCCAGCAACAGCAACATCACCACCACCACCACCATCAGCAAACTCAGCCACAGCAGACGGTACCTCAGCAGGCGCAGACCCAGCAGGTCCTTATTCCTGCATCACAGCAAGGTGAGATTGGATATATTTTTCTGCTTACAACTTGGAAATGAAATTTGTCATTTTCAAAGAAGAGAGATACTGTAGGTTTTTCCTTTCTATTGACTGAGTGGGTAGTCTGTGTGTATTTACGTACAAATTTTGTATAAAACGTGGATTCTGTATTGTAGTAATGATAAACAAATAGTTAACTAGTTGAGAGCCTAAGATGATATAAGCGTATTAATATTTTTTTTGAGGAGGCTACATAATGGTGGATATCCTAAAATACATCAGACCTATAAAGATTTATTTACTAAGGGTTTCGTTATTTTATGTGGTAAAATCGTTACCTACTTTCTTTATGAAATTGATTTGTTTCTTCAAAGACATTTAAGTTTGGTTTTTATAAATACATCTTAAACACTGGGGGAGTTTTGTAAGTGTGGCAGTCTGAAATTTCAATTCCCTAATACTTTAAATGTAAATTGACTGAATTAGATTTCTTTTAAGTGAAGAGTATATGTCCATAACATAATTTATTTACTTAGTTTAGAGGTAAGAAAAACCAAGTATTTATAGAGTGTCCATAGTGCTTTGTACTGTGCAAGTAAATTTATAGATTTGTTTCATTGTGCTTTAAAAAAAGGCTTTGTGAAGTAGCTCTTCCAACATTTCTGTGCTAAGGAAAATTTGGGCCCTGAGAAGGCTAGGAAGCTTGGTCTGTTACATGTAATAACTATTTTCTGTCTTGACACATATGTATTTGGTTATGAAACTTACCTAGCATTTAAGTTTTGTAAATCTTGTTACTGGAGAGGAGAATGAAGATAAATGAAAAGTTTTATTTTAAGGTAACGGTTTAGTTACCCATTTGCCTCATTTGAGAGTATCTGAGAATATATAAGACTTAAAATTGATAGTGATATATAGTAAGTAATGCATGGTAGAAATGTCTGTTTGGATTGTTTTGCTGTTTATACCAAATAAGACTTAATATTTGGTTTTATTCTATACCTGCATCAAATAATTTTATCCTTTTGATCTGTTTTGATGACTGTTCCTCCTATTGCCTTCAGGCCTGGCACTAGGATTTTAGGTCATCATAAATTAAAATTTGATTTTCTTCACTCAGAGAATATTAGGATAATGGGATTATCTGTTTATTCTCTGAAATTTGTGGAATCAAACACTTAGCTCCTTTTATACTTATGTAACATTGCCATTCTTCCTTTCTTCCATTTTTTTTTAACATTGCCATTATTTCTGATTTATGTTTTTTAAAAAGTTGGTGGAAGTAACAAGATTCTGGCAACTGTCAAATGGGGGAAGAGGGCTATGTAGATTAAAGACAACTAGTTAATAGTTTTTTTGAGCTCATTCTTAATGGGTTACTAACTCATTCTAACAGTAGTAGTATATCAACAAAACAATATTGAGTTAGCAAGACAATTAAGTTGTGTTTGAAAATTTCCAGTTTAAGAATGCACAGAGCTGTGTGTGTGTGTGTGTGTGTGTGTATAAATATATATTAGGTATCTCATTACTTCATGTTCCCAAATTCCTTTGTATCCTTAGGTGTTGTTATTCAAATCTTTTTTTTTATTTTAGAGAGTTGATGTTGTCTAGTATAAGATGGGTATATCACAGCTGTTATTTGCCGTAGAAATTGATAACAGTCTGAGGTATCAAATAGGTGAATGCATTTGAATGCAGAAAACAGGAAAAAAGTTTTCAGCATTGTATAGTATTCTTAGGATTATGAAACAGCCTCATGGTTCCTTGTTTGCACTTGTACTTTTTTTTTTTTTAACAGCTGCTGCACCACAAGTTATAGTTCCTGATTCTAAGCTGATACAGCATATGAATGCGTCAAACATGGTAAGACTCAGAACATAGCATTTTGGCTCTACTTATTCTAACTCAAAATTGTGATTATGCCCAGGTATGTTCTGTATTAACAACCTGAAGTTTATTCAAAACTTGAACAAAATGGCTGTTTTATTTGGTTTCCTAATTATTGGATTTAGCAGCAGATCTAAAGTTTAACTTGATATTTAGACATAGAGATTCATAAAATTATGCAGTTTTCTGTTGAAAATACCAAAAGAATGATGCTTTGTGAGAGCTCTTTCATCCCAGGCTATTTTTGGAAAATGGGTTTAGGGGACCTACCAAACATAATATGCCAATTATAGTTGTTTCAGAAGACCCATTAATTACTAGAGGTCAGGAATGCTAAGAATTATAAACTTTAAAAATGAAAATGAACTGTTTGGATAGTTCAGGGTAACTGTTTTTAAGACCAAACCTTTAAAAAAATTTTTGCTCTGATTTAACAATAGCATAGCTTAATAAGATTTATTACAATGTGTACATTATTACTTTAAAATATATTTTAACCAACTGAGTTTATTATGCATTAGTCTTTTGGTATTTCTAAAGGATATTCACTGAACCTAAGTCCTCAAATTTTCAAATTTCATTTAGGGCATGTAGTATTTCCCATCAAATACAGTACCATATAACTAAAATTAGAAAAACTGCTTCAGATTCTTAGAGAATCTTTATCTATATACTTAAAGTTTTTTTTAATAAGACATTAAAATGAAGTTTTATTAGAATAATTATTCCAGCACTTTCTCATAAATGGCTTTTCTTTGTTCTGTTTACAGTAAACGCACTTGTTAGTGGAGTCTCACCTCTGACATTCTTAAATTAATCCAAATCTTTTATTTAAAGGCAAGAATCGCTTTTAAAAAAATCTCTTACTGCTAGCAATGAGATTTTTTTTCCCAGATAGTTTTTTTTTTTTAATTTTTATTTATTTGAGACAGAATGAGAGAGAGAGAGCACATGAGAGGGGGCAGGGTCAGAGGCAGAGGCAGGCTCCCTGCCTAGCAGGGAGCCCGATGCGGGACTCGATCCCGGGACTCCAGGATCATGACCTGAGCCGAAGGCAGTCGCTTAACCAACTGAGCCACCCAGGCGCCCTCTTTTTTTTTTAATGAAAAAGCAAAAATATATATTTTTCAAAGATTTATTTATTTTAGAGAGGGATGGGTGGGGGCGGCGTGGAGAGGGAAAGAGAGTCTTCAGCTGACTCCACACAGAACGGCAGAGCCTGATGCGGGGCTTGCTCTCACAACTCTGAGATCATGACCTGAGCCAAAACCAAGAGTTGAACACTTAACCAGCTGTGCTACCCAGGTGCCCTGTAAAAGCAGTATTTTAAAAAATCACTTCTGTTTGGTGAGTAATGAGTAGTTAACCTCAAAGCTCATCTGTGATTGATAAGCCAGATAGGAAACAGGGCTTACGTACTAGACAAATGACTCCTTTTTAAATATACCAGCCTTACAAATTTATAGCTTGACAGAATTACAAATTTCTACATGATAGTAGAAATTACAGTTTTTAAATTCACAAAAGAATCAAGGATATCTATTTGTCCTTGTAGTTCAGATTGCTGGAATCAGTTCTTCATAAAAATCACAAAATTCCAGCCTATCATGGAATCACAAGAATTTTTATCATTCAGAAAATTACATTTCAAGTCTAACGCCCCAAATTTCTTAACCTCCGTTCTTAAAAATGAAAGTCACTGTAGGATCTATATTGCAGTTTATGCTATTGAGACTGTTTCCTAGGGAGTAACTTGTGTCCTTTCGTTTTTTAAGATTTATTTATTCATCTAACAGAGAAGGAAAGAGAGAGCATGCGCAGACACAACGCAGGTGGAGGGACAGAGGGAGAGGGAGCAGGCCCCCCGCTGAGTGCAAAGGCAGACACAGGGCTTGATCCCAGGACCTTGAGATCATGACCTGAGCCGAAATCAAGAATCGGCCACTTAAAACACTAAGCCACCCAGGCGCTCTGACTTTTGTCCTTTTAAAACAGAAAATTTTGTAGAATGACTTGCAGTAGGCCCATCTGATTTCCAAGAATTTTAAGTTTTGAAAGAAAATTTTGAATTAAAATAGTGTTTAAAGAGACTGGGGCAAAATTAGTGGCCCATCTCTTACTTGTTATGTCTCCCTTGATTCTGAAGAGCATGTATTTAAACAGATCATAGGTCAGAAACATCTATCAGTAAAAGGTGTTAGCATTTATGGGTATTTTAGTATTTTAGTTGATGTTTTCAGTGTTTGCCCCATGTATTTTTTTTTTTTTTTTTTAAGATTTTATTTGCGAGAGAGAGAACGAGAGACAGAGAGCATGAGAAGGAGTGAGAGGGAGGAGGGTCAGAGGGAGAAGCAGACTCCCTGCCGAGCAGGGAGCCCGATGTGGGACTCGATCCTGGGACTCCAGGATCATGACCTGAGCCGAAGGCAGTTGCTTAACCAACTGAGCCACCCAGGCGCCCCTGCCCCATGTATTTTATATGTTCTGAAGTACAGTCACTGTAGGCTCTTTACAAATAAAAGTTTTTTGGTTTTGTTTGTTTGAATTATTATTACTGATTCAAAGATACCCATTTGATTGATTTCCGTTTTCTTTTTTTAATTTAAATTTTAGGTAGTTAACATACAGTGCTATATTGGTTTCTGGAGTAGAATTCAGTGATTAATCACTTACATACACTACCCATTGCTCATCATAACAATTGCCCTCCTTTTTTTTTTTTTTTTTAAAGGTTTTATTTATTTTTTTGACCGAGAGAGACATAGCGAGAGCAGGAACACAAGCAGGTGGAGTGGGAGAGGGAGAAGCATGCTTCCTGCAGAGCAGGGAGCCCAATGTGGGACTCCATCCCAGGACCCTGGGATCATGACCTGAGCCGAAGGCAGACGCTTGACGACTGAGCCACCCAGGCGCCCAACAATTGCCCTCCTTAATACCCATCCCCCTTTAGCCCATTCCCTCTTCACCTCCCTCCATCAACCCTGTTTGTTCTCTTTTGTTAAGAGTCTCTTATGGCTTGTTTTTCCTCCCTCCTCTTTTTCTTTTCCCCCTTCCCATATGTTCATCCGTTTTCTTTTTTAAATTCCACATATGAGTGAGATCACACAGTATTTGTCTTTCTCTGACTGACTTATTTCACTTAATGTAATACACTTTAGCTTCGTCCATGTCATTGCAGATGGCAAGATTTTATTCCAGTTTTGATTTTTTTGATTTTTTTAAAAGCTAGGCATGCTTTGGAAATGAACATTGAAAAGTTACGTACTTTGGGGCACCTGGGTGGCTCAGTCGTTAAGCGTCTGCCTTCGGCTCAGGTCATGATCCCAGGATCCTGGGATCGAGCCCCGCATCGGGCTCCCTGCTGGGCGAGAAGCCTGCTTCTCCCTCTCCCACTCCCCCTGCTTGTGTTCCCTCTCTCGCTGTGTCTCTCCCTGTCAAATAAATAAATAAAATCTTAAAAAAAAAAAAAAAGTTATGTACTTTAATAAGAATGTAGGATAGTGATAATATATTAGGGAGAAAGCTATTTCAGGGAACCTACAAAACAGGACCTTATATCAAACCAGTTTTGCAGGTTCTCTTTATGAAATAATTGCTCTAATGCATTATTCATTTTAGGGTTGTTTCATAAAATACAAGAAGAAATTTTCAGTAGGCATTGATAAAAGATGGATTGTGTATGGTATGTCAGTCAACAGATATTTATTGATAGCATCTTGAATGTGCAGAGGTTTGCAAGTGGTTATTGTGTCATGTATGCTGTGTAGAAACTACAGTTGTCACTTTGCCAGTAGAGGGAGATCTATTAATCTTATGAAATCTGAATATTAATATTTCTGAAGAGAATTTCTCAGTAGTAAGTGGTTGTTGATGTGTTCCTTAGACTTAAATTACCTTTCATTTGTCTATACAGACAAGATTTATTTAAAATAAATGAAATGCAGAAGCTGCATTTCATGAAAAGAACCTGGTGGGGCTATGTCTGGATTCTGGGGACATAGTGGGAATTTGGGGCTTTAGATGTAGAAACTAGTTAGGCCTATCAAATGGCAACAAGAAGCACATTTTCTTAGAACACTGTATTTGGAGTCTAGACTAGATAGTAGTGTCATGAACCTACTTGCGTATAATTTTCCAAGAATTGTTGACTTCTCTGGCATTAGCATCTTCAAAGCATAGTTAAATTTATTTCTCAGAGATTACCAAATAGAGGTGTTTCTAAAAATGTGTATGTTAGATTGGTATGTGAAGGCTTGGTCCCTTTAAAAAGATTGAAGGATGAGGGAGAAAAATTACCTCTATATATAGTTACAGTGAGATGCATGGAACTACTTTGAGTATAGAATTAAAAAAACAGTAAAAATGTGGTGTAATTCTTTTGGAGGAAAGGGGAGAGGAGAAGTCTCCAGAAGCAGTAAATGAAAAATTTATCCTGGATTTAAAGAGATTCAGAGTACACCCATGTATTTTTTTTTTTTTTTTGACTTAAATGTCAGATACTACCTCCATTTTAAAATGTAGAAATTAAAGTTGGTGACTTTTAAGATTTTTAGGTATTTTTTTGTGTCAATAAAACTATTATTAATGTATGTTTCACCTACATATAGTGCCAATATTGTCATCTTAGGGCATCGTAGAATTGCTAGCTAAAGAAGCTCAGCCTTCTGATACAAGGTTTTCTTTAAAACCCTGTTGATTCTAGTATAAATTAAAAATACTAAGAATTCTAAAATGAAGATACTTAACATTTTGCTTCAAGTATATTACAGTTGACCTTGAACAATTTGGGTTTGAACTGTATGGGTCCATTTATATGCAGATTTTTCCGATAAATATGGTTATTTTAGATAAATAAGGTATATATTTTCTTTCCTCTAGCTTACTTTATTGTAGAATAAAATAGATAACATATATATCATACAAAATAGGTGTTAATTGACCATTTATGTTATTGGTAAGGCTTCTGGTCAACAGTAGGCTATTTAGTTTTTGGGAAGTCAAAAGTTATATGTGGATTTTCACTTGTGTGAAGAGTTGGTGCCCTTAGCCCCTGCATTGCTTAAGGGTCAACTGTAATTGACAACAAGGAATTGGGAGTAAGGATATACAGTAGGAAAAGAAATAATGGAATGGATATTTTTATAATTGTATGGCATTGTCAGTATGTGTGAGGTTTCCTTAGAGCACATTCTCCAGGGGAAAAAACACCCCAATTATATTATCCTGCTTCGTTGTTTGAAGTATTTAAGTAAGGCATTTAGGCTAGATGATCTTCATTGTATCATTTTATAAAATGGGGTTTAGTCTTGCTGCTAAAACTTTTCATTTTAGTATGTACTAAACGATAAACTTCAAATACTGTGAAAATGTGCCAGAGAGAAATTGAGGTACTGTTATGCACATATGTGGTTTTGATTGTTTTTCCTTTGTTTTTTCAGAGCGCTGCTGCTACAGCTGCTACCTTGGCACTCCCTGCAGGTGTGACGCCGGTTCAGCAGATACTAACAAATTCAGGTAATGAGGAGTAACGGAACCATTATTTATATGTATGACTCAGAAAATTGTACCATCTAGTCTTTGTTTGGGCCTCATTGAAAGACAAAATCAGTATTTCTTTTACCATTTGACTTACTTAGGTTATTAAAAAAGACTGAGTACTGTAGCACATTAAGTAATAATTACTGCTGAGGATGCAGTAGAGAAGATGAAAATTGCGTTTGAGCTTTTGATCTGTGAATGAGAATCCTATTATTGAATAAGTATGATTATATAGAAATATTTTTTTACATAGATTTTTGTTAAACACACTTAACCTGCCATATAAGTTAAACTTACTTGAATGAATTAGTGATATCAAACTAAATCCTGTAGTATTTTATTGCATTCTGTTTTACATAATATCTCTGCATAGACTGACAAAATTTACTTGTGATTTTTGGCATATTAATGTTGGAAGAATTTATTTACATGGGTTTTAAGTTATTCTCTCTGATTTTAATTATAGAATTTCTTGTTATTTTGTTAATAAGATTCTAAATTTGTAAAGAACTAGAGGTTTATCTTGTTACATATTTTATTAATATATAGTTGTTGCTTTTTAATTAATTGAAGATTCTGTATCATCTAAAACAACAAAGAGAGGGAATCACTTCTCTGTGTTTAAGCCAGGCATACACTCAGTATTATGTGGCAATGATAATTCAACAAACTTTTGTTTTAAGCATTTTGAAGCTAAGTATCCTGGTGCTTTGGCTCAAGATATTAATGAACTGTTATACTTTCATGTCTTCAGAGCTTTCAAAAGAAACAGCCTTTGAAACATATGATCTTACTGGTCTTATATGACTCTTAACATGTTAGTAAAGATAATTTAAACTTCTAATCAACTTTTATATCTCTTAAAACTTTATTGGAAAAGAGCTTTATAGGGATGATGAGTAAGGAAAAACATTTTAAGCAATGTATTTGAACATGGAGGGAACTGAGAGAAGGTGAGGATTATGTTTGTTGTGTATGGCAGCCCTTAATTGTTAGACTTCTTGCTCGATCATTTCTAGGGGATTTTGGTGGCTTGACATTCATTATGAATTCATTTATTTTGAGATGGTCACTGCTAAAATGGTAACTTGTAATACATACTTTCTGCTTTAGGCCAGCTTCTTCAAGTAGTCAGAGCAGCCAATGGTGCCCAGTATATCTTCCAGCCTCAGCAGTCAGTGGTTCTCCAACAACAAGTTATACCACAAATGCAGCCTGGTGGAGTGCAAGCTCCTGTTATACAACAGGTAATAGAATAATAAGTTATGATCATGATGGGGTTCTTTTTTCTTCTCCTGTATGAATTCTTCGGGTGGTTCTCCTCCCGTTTCCCATGGCTTTATCTCTACGAATTCTTAGACTGTTCTCCAGTGTTGTACATCCTGTCGTTGTAAATTCCTTCTGTATACCTTACAGCTTAACTTACATTTAATATATTTAAGACTAAATTGTTGTTTCTCTGCTTATCTTTCATCATTCCTCTGAGTATGCTTTTCTGTCACCCTCCATCCAGCCTCCTCAGCCTCCCAAGTTATCTGGCATTCATTCAATAAGCATTTACTATGTGGCTGTGTATCAGAGTCTTTGCAAGGGACTGGAGATTTAGGAGTGAACAAGGCAGACATGAATCCAGTTTCATGAAGCTTATGTATTTTTATTTTTATTTTATTTATTTATTTATTTATTTATTTATTTATTTATTAAGATTTTATTTATTTATTTGAGACAGAGAGAATGAGAGACAGAGAGCATGAGAGGGAGGAGGGTCAGAGGGAGAAGCAGACTCCCTGCCGAGCAGGGAGCCCGATGTGGGACTCGATCCCGGGACTCCAGGATCATGACCTGAGCCGAAGGCAGTCGCTTAACCAACTGAGCCACCCAGGCGCCCAAGCTTATGTATTTTTAATATGCAAAGTATCATGAAGTCCTACCAATTTTTAATAGTTCCTTTTTTCCAGACTGCAGTTTTAACATGTTTGCAGTTCCTTCATGTTTGAAACTAGTTTTCTTTTCTCGGACTTCCTCATCATTTCCTTACTTGATGCTTTCCTAATTTCCCACTTAAAATACTATTATTATTCTCTCAATAGTGTATATACTATATATACTGTGTGTGTGTATAAATAAATACTATATATTATCCTCTTAATTGATTTCCCTGACTCTAATCTTAGGCTTCCTAACTCGTTACTCTGTATTTTATAGTTATTGTTCTAAAAATCTTAAAATCTTTTAATGACTTCTCATTGCCTGTTGGAAAAAGTCTAAAACTCCTCAGCATGGTTCATAGGATCTTTGTTTTTTTTATGGATCTTATTTTTTTGATCTCTTCAGGTTTATTTCTTGCCATGCTTCCAACTATCTGCTTCAACTGCTATTTAGATCAAAGTTAGATCTTTGTACCTACTTCTGTGCTGGGTGTTAAAACTCTTGTACCGTGAGTACAAAGAGGAAAGAGAAATAGTTATTTTCTTAAAGAACTTAGGTACTTTAAAAAAAGAGACACATTACATAATGTCCATATTATAGTATGATAGTAGAGGTAAGGTCAGAGAAGCATTAATCTAGTCGATTTACAGCTTTCCAGATTTTTGTTTGATGCTGTTCTTCTACTTAGAATGCCCTTTGACCTTCCTTCTAGCAACTCCCTTTATTCCCCCCAACAAAAAAAAGCAACCGAATGGAAAAGCCTGGCTAATCTTCCAAGCACAAAAGAACTCAAGTATTACATATTAAGAAGGCTTCCCTGACCATACCTTGTCCCTCAAGCTGAATTTAGTCCTCTCTCCTGTGTTCTCTTAACACCATATCATACTTCTGTTACACCTTCTATCTTTTGAGTTGTGTTACTGCTTTGTCTATTGCACCATTAATCCATAAATTTCTTAAGGGAAATACTGTCTTATTTTGCATTCCTTGAACCTAAAGGCAAGTAATTGCCATTCACTGTTTTTTATTTATCACTAGGTATTCTCTTTTTATTTATTAACACATGTAATTATAGATACATTTATTGTAAAAGATACAGTTAATATTTGTTATTATGTTCTTTTGAGTTATGGTTTACTTTAGAATTCTAGATGCAGAAGCAGAAAGGAACTTTAGAAATCATCTGATCTGGTGTGGTTGCATGGTTAGAATCAGCTGGAGAGCTTTTTTTTTTTTTAAAGATTTTATTTATTTAATTGACAGAGAGAGACACAGTGAGAGAGGGAATACAAGCAGGGGGAGCGGGAGAGGGAGAAGCAGGCTTCCCACTGAGCAGGGAGCCCGATGTGGGGCTGGATCCCAGGACCCTGGGATCATGACCTGAGCTGAAGGCAGATGGTTAACGACTGAGCCACCCAGGCGCCCCAGCTGGAGAGCTTTAAATGATTAGATTTCATCTCACACCAATTAAATCAGAATACTAGGAGTGGGGCCCAAGTACCAGTATTTTTAAGCTACCAGGTGGTTGTAATTTGCAGCCAGGGTTGAGAACCATTGATTCTAGTTTGACAGTGAAGTGACGAAAGCCAAAAGAGGTTAAGTGACATGCCTTTGCTATATCTCAATCTGGGATCTTAGACAAAACTGGGGCCCAAGACTTCACATCTTCAGTGCAGTGTTCTCCACAGGGAGGCAGTGCAACATAATAATTAGAGCAGAATCAGAAAGCCTGGGTTAAAATTTTGCCTCTTCGTGACTACAAGCTTGGCAAGTCACTAAACTTGTCCATACATCAAGCAAGTAAATTAATCATATGTGTAACTCTTGGTTTGGAATTTGCCATGTACATAGCAAGTGCTCAGTAAATATTTTCAGAAAATCTTTTTTTCCTTCAGAACTTTGAATGGTAAAATAGAAGTGGGATCATTATACTAGTTAAACTCCTTTTATGCTTTGGTGGTTTTTAGCCATATGAGATATGGCCATTTTTGGTGATTCTTCAGCATTTACGCCTATTTCTCTGTACCACAAAGTGAAACTGGGCTACTTGGTACTCCCACTAGTTTCTTTAATATGGTTTTCTTTTGCCTTAGGTACTGGCCCCTCTTCCTGGAGGGATTTCACCACAGACGGGTGTCATCATTCAGCCACAACAAATCTTATTTACAGGAAATAAGACTCAAGTTATACCTACAACGGTGGCTGCACCTACCCCGGCGCAAGCACAGATAACTGCAGCTGGCCAGCAGCAACCACAGGCCCAGCCTGCTCAAGCACAAGCCCCACTGGTGTTACAGGTTGATGGAACCGGGGATACGTCATCTGAAGAAGATGAAGATGAAGAAGAAGACTATGATGATGATGAAGAGGAAGACAAAGAGAAAGATGGAGCTGAGGATGGGCAGGTAGAAGAAGTAAGTTTGTAGTAAAAGAATTGAAATGAGAAACTACTCAGTCATTTCTTTTACTTGGTGCCAAACTGATGAATTATATTCTATTTTTTCAGAGGCTGTTAAGGTGTTATACAATATAGGATTTTAAATATAAAGTTAGATTGTTTTAACCTAATAAGGTTTTTAAATGGTTCTGGTTGTATTTATCATCATAAAATACTGTTTCTTATAGCTAGTAATAAAAAATGTTATCATATTGAGTTGTATTTATAAAGGGGGTAGAGAGAATGCAAGTAATTCTAATTTTCTGGCTTATGCATTCATGATGTGATTTAAACATAAGGCATTGGTAGAACACATAAAATGAGGTTAATCTTTGCCTCAGTAATTAAAAAGGTATGGCAACATCTGGGAAGAGAGGAGACTTGAGGAAAAAGCTAAATGTCACAGACTTATTCATAACTTCCTTTTGGTCTGTATTCTATACTAGTTCCTTACATCACTTTATCTACTCTTAGTATCTTTCTTGAGTTAAGCAAACCATTCTTATTCATCTTTAGTTATATATTTCTAGAAGCATATAAATATATCTTTGTTTTTCTCAGTGTTCCTGCTTAACCGGTTACTTGTGTTCAAGATGTTTTTCTTTAAAAATTTTTTTTATTTTTTAAGATTTTATTTTTATTTATTTGACAGAGCACAAGCAGGGGGAGCAGACAGGCAGAGGCAGAGGGAGAGGGAGAAGCAGGCTCCCCGCTGAGCAAGGAGCCTGATGCGGGGCTCGATCCCAGGACCCTGGGATCATGACCTGAGCCGAAGGCAGTTGCTTAACCAACTGAGCCACCCAGGTGTCCCTCAAGATGTTTGTCTTAACCACAGTTTCCTTTGTTAATTGCTTTCTTCAACTTAAGATGTAATTTTGTTTATTTTAGGACAAAATTCTTTAATGTTTTTAAAAAATACTGTTTCATTAAATATTGAATAGATACAAATGAATAAAAAATATTTTAACATAAAAACACCCTTATGTCCACATCTAGTTAAAAATAATCCCATTACGGGGTGCCTGGGTTGCTTAGTCAGTTAAGGTCCTACTCTTGATTTCAGCTCAGGTCATGCATGATCTCAGGGTCATGGGATTTGAGTCTGGCATCAAGCTCCACACTCAGCTCAGAGTCTGCTTGAGATTCTCTCTCTCCATCTCCCTCTGCCCCTCACCCCTGCTCACCAGTGCTCTAAATAAATAAATAAGTAAAATCTTTAAAAACATATAATCCATTATTTTATTAAATTCCCTTGAGTACCTCTCCCCAACCCGCATCCTCTTCCTTGTGTCATCAGAGTAATCGTGCTCATGAATTTTGTGTTTATCATCAACTTGCCTTCATGTTCACCATCTGTATTTATATTCCTAAAGAGCATAGTGTTTGGTGTTGAATGCCCATTTATAACATAAATGGAGTAATTCTCTATTCTTCTGCAAGTTGATTGCCCTTTTTTTCCCCTCTCAAGGTGGTATTTCTGAGGTTCATCTAAGTTGTTGTATATACTGGTTAATTATTTTCACTGTTGTATATACCATAGTTTATTTCTCCATTTCTTTTCTGATGTGATGGGCATTAGGGTTGTTTCTATTTGTTTACACTTACAGTTACAAAATATTTTGGAGTGTGTCTTCTGGGGACACATATGCATGACTTTTTTTTTTTTTTTTTTTTTTAAGATTTTTTTATTTATCTGAGAGAGAATGGGAGACAGAAAGCATGAGAGGGGGAGGATCAGAGGGAGAAGCAGACTCCCCGCCGAGCAGGGAGCCCGATGCGGGACTCGATCCTGGGACTCCAGGATCATGACCTGAGCCGAAGGCAGTTGCTTAACCAACTGAGCCACCCAGGCGCCCACATGACTTTTTTTTAAAGATTTATTTATTTATTTATTTATTTGAGAGAGAATGAGAGAGAACACATGAGAGGGGGTAGGGTCAGAGGGCAAAGCAGACTCCCTGCCGAGCAGGGAGCCTGATGCGGGACTCGATCCCGGGACTCCCGGATCATGACCTGAGCCGAAGGCAGTCGCTTAACCAACTGAGCCACCCAGGCACCCTGCGTGACTTTTTTTTTAAGTGTTATACCTAACCATTGAATTACTGGATTCTAAGGCATGCACGTTTTCAACTTTACAATAAAATGCCAAATTGTTGTACTAATATGTCTTCACCAATACTTAATATCATCAGGCTTCTTAATTTTTGCCAGTCTAATAGGTAGACAATGGTGTTTCTTTTTGGTTTTAATTTGATTACTGATGAGATTTAGCATCTTTGATTCTTTCATGTTTTCTCTATAGACAATCAAATATTAAACATGAAGTTTTTCTTGCCTCATTGGCTTAGCCCTCTAGAACAATATTAATTAGAAATAGCAGGCAGCCTTATCGTGTTCTTAATTTTAAAAGGAACCCTTTCTGTGGTTCACTATTAAGTATAATGTTTACTATAGGCTTTTTTTTTTTTTTAAAGATTTTATTTATTTATTTGAGAGAGAGATGAGAGAGAGAGCATGAGGGTGGGGGAGGGTGAAAGGGAGAAGCAGACTACTCACTGAGCAGGGATCCCCATGTGGGACTCCATCCTGGGACTCCAGGATCATGACCTGAGCTGAAGGTAGTCACTTAACCACCTGAGCCACCCAGATGACCTACTATAGGCTTTTTATGGGCATCTTTTATCAGGTTAAAGAAGGTCCCTTTTATTCAAATTAACTAAGCTTTGCTTTGTTTTTTTTAAATTCTAAATGAATGTTGAATTTTGTTAGTTTTTCTGCAACTGTTAGATAATCATAAAATTTCTTATCCTTAATCTGTTATTTAATAACTAATTGCACTAATTGGTTTTCTACTTATAGCCAATTTTGTGTTCGTTGGGTAGCACAACTTGATCATTCTGTATTACCCTTTTGATGAATTCCTCAATTCACTTTGTTCAGGACTTTTTCATGTACGTTCATGTACTCTCTGTGATTTTCTGTTCTCATACTCTTCTTGCTAGGTTTTCAGGTTTGTGATAGCATTATAAAATGAATTCTGGTGAGTGCTCTGTCTTCCTTGGACTTCCTTTTTTTTTTTTTTTAAAAGATATACTTAATTCTCTGAATATTGGAGTATGCTGCTAAAATTATCTGATCCTAGTAATGTCCTTACTCTGTTCCAAGTTATTTCTTTTTGAGACAGTTTGGATAAATTTTATTTTTCTAGGCTACATATGTAAATTTTTAAGTTAACATAAAGTTAATGATAATCATCTTTTTGATGCCAGAATCCTTTGTAGTCATTTTCTTTTTTATATTCTCATTTCTGATTTTGTGCCTTCTTGCTCTTTTTTTCTTGTTCAGTCTAGCCAGAGGTATGTTGATTTCATTAATGTTTTTTAAGAATCAACTTTTAGCTTTATTCTCTCTAGTGTGTTCTTTTCTGTTTCATTAATTCTTGTTCTGACTTAACAGTTTTATTTGTAGAGTTATGATCTGTGTAATGTGTGAGGAACCACCTTTGAAATTGACTGGGACTTGCTTTATGTGGTCAGTGTTTGCATATGCTTCCTGTATATTTTGAAAAGACTTTTTGCAGTTGTTGGTTGTCTCCTATACGTACTATTAGAATTAGATTCTTTGGATATTATATATCCTTACTCATATTTTTTGTGTGCTTACACCATCATCCATTAGTGAGTGAGATAGGTTCAGATCTCCTACTATGATGGTGTATTTATTTGTTTTGTCATTACGCTTTTTATATTTTGAACCTAAAAGTGGATGCACATAAGCTTAAACGTACACTTTCCAGTGAATTGAGCCATTTATGATTATGTAGTTTCCTGCTATTTATCTCTAGTAATTTTTTTTTGCCCATACAGTCTGTTTTGTGTGATATTAATAGAACCGTACCAACTTTATTTTAGTTAGAGTAGCTCCTTTCATTCCTTTACTTTCACATTTTTTGGATCCCTAAGCTTTAGGTGTGTCCTTTTTTTTTTTTTTTTATTTAAGATTTTATTTATTTATTTGACAGAGAGAGACACAGTGAGGGAGGGAACACAAGCAGGGGGAGTGGGAGAGGAAGAAACAGGCTTCCCATGGAGCAGGGAGTCCGTTGCAGGGCTCGATCCCAGGACCCTGGGACCATGACCTGAGCGAAAGGCAGATGCTTAACCGACTGAGCCACCCAAGCGCTCCTAGGTGTGTCTTTTTTTATGTGGAATACTGCTATGTATGCTATCATTTTACAAAATTTTTACATGGGCCAGGACTATTCAGTAGGAAAAGAATGGTCTTATTTAATAAATGTAGCTTGGATAATTGAATATCCACATGCAAAACAGTGAAATTAGACCCTTACCTCACACCTTACACAAAATTAACTCAAAATGGATCAAAGACCTAAAAGTAAGACCTAGGGGTGCCTGGGTGGCTCAGTCGTTAAGCATCTGCCTTTGGCTCAGGTCATGATTCCAGGGTCCTGGGATCGAGCCCCACATCAGGCTCCCTGCTCAGCAGGGACCCTGCTTCTCCCTCTCCCACTCCCCCTGCTTGTGTTCCCTCTATCGTGGTCTCTCTCTGTCAGATAAATAAATAAAAATCTTAAAAAAAATAAAATAAAATAAAAGTAAGACCTAAAACTATAAAATTCTTAGAAGAAAATAGGGCAGAAGCTTCATAACACTGGGTTTGGAAATAGTTTCTTAAATATGATACCAAAAGCACAAGCAATAAGAAAAATAACAACAGACTTAATAGATTAAAAGCTTTTGTATGCCCAAGGACAATATTCACAAAGTTAAAAGCCTATAAAATAGGAGAAAATATTTGCAAATCCTCTATCTGATAAGGGCTTAATATCCAGAATAGAAAACTTTTAAATTCAACAACAAACAAACAACTCTATTCCAAAGTGGGTAAAGGACTTGAATAGGCATTTCTCCGAGGAGGATATACAAGTAGCCAACAAGCATGTGAAAAGATGTTCAACATCACTAGTTATTACAGTAATGCATATATCAAAACCACAAAGAGATACCACTTCACATTTACCAGGATGACTAATCAAAAGAGAGAAAAAAGGAAATGGATGTTGGTGAGGATGTGGAGAAATTGGAACTCTTTGGCATTGCTGGTGGGAATGGAAAATGGTGTAGCTGCTATGGAAAAGGGTTTGGTGGTTCCTCAAAATGTTAAGCATAAAATTATCGTATGACCCAGCAACTCTTCTAAGTATATGTATAAGAGAATTGAAAACTGTTATTCAAATAAAAGCTTGTACATGAATATTCAAAACTGTTTACAAAATCCAAAAGATGTAAATAACCCAAATGTCTATCAATTGATGGATGGGTAAATTAAAATGTGATTTATCCATGCAAAGGAGTATTATTTAGCCATGAAAAGGAACAGAGTACTGGTTTATGCTACAACATGGATGAACCTCACACATTATAAGTTAAAGAAACCATACCACACGTTGTTACATGTGTATATCATATGTTTGCATTTATATGAACTATCCAGAGGTAAATACATAGTGACAGAAAACAGATTAATGGGGGGCTGGGGAGAGGTGGGGATGGGATTGAGTGACTGTTTAATGGTAAAAGGTGATGAAATTGTTCTGGAATTAGATAGTGGTGATAATTGCATACATTATTTATGTACTAAGTATGACTGGTTGTACACTCTAAAATGGTTAAAATGGTGAATTTTGTTATATGAATTTTACCTCAATAAATTGTTTTTATATTTACATTGGTGATATCTATTTTAAAGAATACACACACACACACGTGTATGTGAGGTATAAGCCTAGACTTAATATCATCTTGATTATTTTCCTTTTTTTTTAAAGATTTTATTTATTTATTTGAGAGAGAGAGAATGAGAGACAGAGAGCACGAGAGGGAAGAGGGTCAGAGGGAGAAGCAGACCCCCCGCTGAGCAGGGAGCCCGATGCAGGACTCGATCCCGGGACTCCAGGATCATGACCTGAGCCGAAGGCAGTCGCTTAACCAACTGAGCCACCCAGGCGCCCCGATTATTTTCCTTTCCACTTTTATTTTGTCCTATCTTCTCTTTCTCTGTTAACTAGAAATCTGAGTTATATCTTTTATCTTCTCAAATAACTGAGGTCGGATTTAACATAGTTGGTCATTTTATGCTTTAGTTAGATCTTGGCCTTTAATTCTCTTTGGGACTGAGAACCCCCTTCCACTTCACCCTTCCCACATATATCCTTTTAATCTGAATGCCTTAGTTAAACTACAAGCCTCCACCATTACCATCACAATGGTAGAAATGCTGGTATTATAAATAGAGTCTTAGTCCTCCACACAGAGACAAGCCAGATTCCTAGCCTGTTTTATAGCCTTTTTTTCCTCCTCCAACTTCACCACTGTTTTCCCTTTTACTCTGCTGCTGCTGGTGGTACATAGTACCATTATCTCATTAAACCTTCATATTTTCTTAGGTCCCCTTCTAGGCATCTTAAACAGTTATTGGAGAGAGTAATCCTGTTCTGAAAGAATGAAGGAAATAAACATCTTTTCAGACTTTAAAGTTATATAGCTTAACTATTTTTATTTTTGATTTCTTACTGGAATTTCAGTAAAATTCGCAAAGTCTTAATAAGTTTGTGGTGTATATATATGTGTGTGTGTATATGCTTCTGTCTGAACCTTCATTCTCAGAGAACATCAAGGTCATTGTATTTCTTTTCCTTGAATATTAGAAGGGCCTTTTTCTAATAATACATGAAGTATAAATAAGTACTCTTCTTTCTTATTTGTAGGAGCCCCTCAACAGTGAAGATGATGTGAGTGATGAGGAAGGACAGGAACTCTTTGATACAGAAAATGTTGTTGTATGCCAATATGATAAGGTAAGGATTTTATCAGGTTACTTACATTTTTTTTGTTGTAATTTCTTCCCTAAATATCTTTTCTACCTTGTTCAAACATTTGGGCAGCTGATGGATGCCTCTTATATTCAATATAAATAGGGTGAATGTAGACATTGTTATAGTTTAGTAGATTATTTTGGGGTTGTCCTTTAACATTAATAACCCAGTAGAATAACCCTGTTTTCCCTTTAGTTTCAACTACCCCAAACCTAAAAGGCTTTAATTGAATTTTGTCACTTTTTTTTTTTTATTACTAAGGCGAGAACTAGGGCAATAAACGGGACTGCTAACTAACAAAAGATATGTTTTTACTGAAAATCATTTTTAAAATTATTTAGCTTTGCTGTATTTTTGGCAGCCTTAGGTATTTTTAAACTAGGCCTGTGAGAATTAGCTATTGAATTCTTGTTTTCCTAATTCTTCAAAAGGAAGCTACTTGCCAAGTATTTTTGTTATTGTTATTGGCATTATTGTTGAGATTTTGTTAATTATTGAAACATTTAATTTGGAATAAAACTCTTTTCTATAATCATTAAATTTATAATAAATCCACAAATTATATTGCATTTATAATTTAATTTCAACAGTGGTCTTTACCAAATGATGAAAACCCTAACAGAAGCAATTGGGCTTTTTGTTTGTAAGCATACTCATTCACTAAACAAACACTAAGTGTCTGCCTGTGCCAGGCACTGGAGCTGTAGTTATGATCATGCAAATTTGTGCCTTGCATGAATTTCCTTTACAAATGATGAAAATCTTACATTTGTGTTGCTTTTATAGAAATGAATCTTATAAGTAGTCGTGCTTATTGCATATAAATAGCCATACTTTTTGGAAACCTATCTATAGGGAAGTGTCAAAACAATTAATCTTATCATTTTGTAGTGAAGAGGTACAGTCAAGCCAGTTACTTGCAGTGAGATTACAGAATAAAGTCAGTGAAGTCATTCATAAACAGAATTATCAGAGCATCCACTTTTGTACTGTGTGACTTTTGGGTGAGCATTCTTAAAACCTTACACCAGGGACATTATAATATAATTTTTTGTTACACTTGCGTAATGGAAGAGTATTAATGTTAAAATAGATACCAATAAACCTTATATTGTCAGGAAATGTCAAAGAAACCTCATGCAACCAAATTAGCCAGAACACAGTTTTATGGTGACAAGATGTCAGATTCAGGCAAGAGAGACCTTTACCTTAGCTAGATTGAAGAATATACTTCTAAGTATTTTCATATTGTGAGAATGTATTGTATTCTTGTTTGGTATTGTATTCTCCTTTGGTACAAATTGTACACATAATATTTTAAATGTTAAAATTGGTTTGTTTTGCTCCTAAGACATTTTAATGTTTTAATGTTTTAGACAGAAATGGAAAACAGCTTTAAGTAGTGTGTTGAGTAATAAACACTTTAAAGTTCACAGAGATCTAATTTTTAGACCTTGAGAGCTTGTTTGGAGGTTCTAGCAGGGGAGCACAGAGATCTAATTTTTAGAATCAAATGAGCCCAAAGTTTTTCTATACTTGCTTTTTGCAAATTGTCAATATAGGAGGATGCAATCAGTTTCTTTAGTTGTCTGGGGAATTTCTTTTTCCTGGCTACTCATCACTTTCTTGCTTATGTAATCCCATTGTCTTTCAAGATGGAGTCACTCGGTTCATGCTGGAAATCAATTTATGTACCCACTTTTCGGATAGTTACTACTTTCTCTATAGGGAGTCAAAGAAAAAAGGAGACAGGTTTTTTTCACTCAACAAATAGAGTGTCTATGATGTACCAGGGCACTGCACTAGGAGGTTGAGATACAGTAGTAAACAAAGTAAAACAATCCCTGCCATTGGGAACTTTAGTTAAGGGAAACGGATGCTAAAATGTAATAAATAAATTATTATGGTATGTTAGAAGCAGATAATTGGTATGGATAATTGGTAGGAAAGGGGACAGGTTACAGTTTTTTAAAAGGTTAGTCTTGTTAGATCTTTTGAGAAGATGACATTTGAACAAAGCCTTGCCTTGTCATTATCTGGTTAACAGAGCCTGCCTGTTTTGTGTGAGGGGTGGCATGGAGGCCAGAGTGGTTGGACTGGGAATGCAGGGGAAGGGATATAGTTAGTAGATTAAGTCAGTGGTAAGTGGGGCAGGTGGTATGGAAGTTTATGAGGACATGGGCTCTTATGAGCGAATTGGAAATATTGGAAGGTCTCAAATAGACAGTTGTAGTATCACTTACATTTTAATTCTAAAAAGATTACTTTGTCTTCTTTGTTGAGAGTGGACTGTGTAGAGGAAGCAGAGTTGAAACAAGGAGACTAACAGAAGGATATTATAGTAATCCAAGTGAGAGATAATGGTGACTTAGGCTAGGGGGATAGTATTGGAAGTGATGAGCAGCAGCTGAATCTTGGGTATGTTTTGAAGGAAGAGTCAGCAGGATTTTCTGACTCTTCTTGACAAGTGGTAGAAAAGAAAAAGAGGAATCAAGAATGATTCAAGATTTTTTGATGAAGAACCAGAAGGAAGAATGGAGATGCCATCAACTCAGATAGGAAAGGCTGAAGATGGAGCACGTTTGGGTGAGGAGAGTAATTAGTTTTGAACATGAGAAGTTTGGTATGTCTGTTGGACATTCAAATTATCTATCTTAAGATGTTACGTTTAACATCTGAATCTCATAGTGTATTTTTAGACCAGAAATATAAGACCACTTAACACAAGAGTTTCTGCCCTAACTGCTATTTTAACTTTATTTTGCTGTATTTTCTTGTAATAAGAAGAAAAATTTGATAAATATTAAACGTGTGTATAACTTAACTCAGTGATGTAAAGGAAAAGCATGAGAGTAGTTTTCAAATACATAAAGTGTTGTTTGATTTTTTTTTTTTTTTTAATTAAGTCCCAGAAGATAGAGCTAGGATCAGTAAGTGGAAGTTTGGAGGAAGCAGATTTCAGTAAGGGATGAAGTATGAAAGACTTATAAGAGAACAGGCCCAGAGTGGAATAACTTAATTTGCAGTTCTTTGTCCCCCGCTTCTAATCATACTCAAGCAGAAACTGAACAACAGCTTGCCAAGAATATGCCATGGGAATGTTTGTATTGGGAGGTTAGAGCATGGAATTTTATGAATGAATTCTCAGAAAATATCTATACATAGTGAGCATTTCTGGATTATTATATGAAATGGCCTGATTTAGTAAAAAAATGTCTTGGATTTGAGAATCATCTTTGCCACAAAATGCTCCTGGTAAATCATTGAACCTCTCCAAGCTGTGATTATCTTTTTTTGAAAATGGAAGCCTTAACTACTTGATTTCGAGGTCCCTTTAGATCAGAGAAGAGGGAGAACCATGGGTCCTTCTCTGAAGATATGGAGCTTAAGCTGAAAATTGAATGAAGCATGGGACTTATTGGGAAAGGGAAAAAAGGTCATTTCAGTTGATTAAGTTTTATAACTCCTTTTCTCCTTAAATCTATGAATTGCAAACAACTAAAAACTATAAATGAAAGTAAAGACGGTAGTGCCCAGGGTCTGGCCCAATTTGAACACTGCCCTTCCCCCTTTGGCTTAATTGCAGATGCACATAGGTTTTGAAATCTATAAGTGACTGGATGATCAGCATTCCCTCAGATGTATTTGTTAAATACTGCTATGTGTAAGGTTCCATGTTAGGTCTTGGAGAAAACTATAAGGGGTTTTACTTTGGTAGAAGAAATTCTTTGTAATTGTATATACTTAGAAATGATACTAGAAATGTGTTTGGGAATGACACTGAAAATTAATTATTAGGAGAGACTACTTTTAGCTGATATGATTAGGGAGCGCTTTGAGAGAACACAGTATTTTTGAGGTGGGTCTTGAAATCGGAATTGAATTTGTGAAAATGGGAGCAAGGAATGATACTTCTTTTGATTGAAATACAGTCTTTGAGGAATATGGAAGTAGGAAATAAGCTTGGTAGGTGAGTTATTACCAGGTCATTTAGAAATAGAAATAGTCAAGCAGAGGGGATGGAAGGAAGGTGAGAGTGAAGCCTGGAAATCAGTTGGAAAGTTATTATGATAAATCAGGTAACAAGAGGCTGTTGATATGATAAACTAGAAGATAATTGGTGGCCATTGAGAAAACAGTTGCCTGGTGTCCTGTAGATAACTAAAGTAGAATTAGAGGTTAGAAATATTAATATTAGTATGGATATTAATACTGTTGGACCATAGTATTAGAAGAGTTAGCAATATGGAAATTGTTACTGTATGTGAGGAAGAGAATGGTTGTAAACATGATTCCAGTATTGAGGATAGATAGTGTCCTGGTGGTCTAGATAAGAATGAAAAAAAGCCGAAGGTTAAATAGTGTAGACATAAAAGGAGTTATGGAGAAAAGGCAAAACAGTGGTCTAGAAGCATCAGGGAAAACAAAGGGTATTCCTATTTTAAAAGTTTGCCAGTATAAAATTTCCTGTGAAAAAAGGGACACATGTATATATAAACTTGGCAAAAATAAGATACTTTGCAGAGAAATGTATTATTAATGAACACAAGTATTAAGAACTGTAAAATAGTACTAATTGCAGATACATTTATTTCTTTAAAAACTCACCTGAGTGAATAGGATTTTTGTTTGTTTTTTGTCAAATTTAACTTTATTAAGAAACCAGTTTGGGGGTACCTGGGTGGCTTAATTGGTTAAGTGTCTGCCTTTGGCTCAGGTCATGATCCTGGGGTCCTGGGATGGTGCCCCACATCGGACTCCCTGTTCTGTGGGGAGCCGGCTTCTCCTTCTCCCTCTCCCTCTCCCTCTGCCTGCAGCTCTCCCTACTTGTGCTCACTTGTGTGCCCTCTCTCTCTCTATCAAATCAGTCAGTCAATCTTGTAGAAAAAAAAAAAGGAAACCAATTTGTCAAAACAAACAAAACAAAAAACCAATTTGGCCAGCCACAATGGTATGAAACTAGAAATCAATTACAAGAAAAAAACTGGAAAATTCACAAATATTTGGACATTAAACAGCATGCTACTGAATAATCATTGAGTGAAAGAAGAAATCAAAAGAGAAAACAAATCTTGAGACAAATGAAAATAGAAATATAGCATACCAAAACTCACAAGATGTAGTAAAAGCACTCTTAGGAGGGAAGTTAATAGAGATAAATGACTATATCAAGAAACAAGAAACATCTCAGCCTAACTTTGTATCTCAGAGAACTAGAAAAAGAACAAATGAAGTCCAAAGTTAGTAGCAAGAGAGGAAATGACAAAGATCAGAGTGGAAATAAGAGAGTAAAAAGACACTAGAAAAGATCAATGAAACTAAGAGCTGGTTCTTTGAAAAGATATATTGACAAACCTTTAGTTAGACTCACCAAGAAAAAAAGGCTAAGACTCAAATAAAATCAGAAGTGAAAGGGGAGTTGTTATAACAGATACCACAAAAATATAAAGAATCATAAGACTACTGTGAACAATTATTATATGCTAAGAAAGTGGACAGCCTAGAAGAAATGGATAAATTTCTAATCAAAAACATTCCGACAAACCATCATGAAACCAGATGGCTTTACTGGTGAACTCTACCACAATAAAGAAGAAATTCTTCCAAGAAGAATTAATACCAGTCCTTCTCAAACTTTTCCAAAAAATGGAAGAGGAGGGAACACTTCTAAACTCATTTTATAAGGTCAGTATTACCCGGACACCTAAACCAGACAAGGGCACCACAAGAAAAGAAAATTATAGGCCAGTATTCCTGATGAACACAGATGCCAAAATCCTCAACAAAATATTAGCAAACTGAATTCAACAATATATTAAGATGATCATATACCATGACCGTGTACCAAGTGGGATTTATTTCAGGGGATCCAAGGATGATTCAACATACACAAATCAATGTGGTAACTGACCATATTAACAAAATAAGGATAAAAATCATACGGTCATCTCAATAGATGCAGAAAAAGCATGTGGCAGAATTCAACATCTGTTTATGATAAGAATTCAAGAAAGTGGGTATTAGAGGGAACGTAACTACCTCAACATAAGAAAGGACATACATAACAAACCTGCAAGTAACAAACTCAAAGGAGAAAAGCTGAAAACCGTTTCTCTTAAGATCAGGACCAAGACAAGAATGCTTATTCTTGCCATTTTCAACATAGTATTAGAAGTTCTAGCCAGAGCAGTTAGGCAAGAAAAAGAAATAAGCACCAAATTAGAAAGGAAGAAGTAAAACTGTCACTATTTACAGAAGACCAAGTATTATATATAGAAGACCCTGAAGACACCACCAAAAAACTGTTAGAAGTAATAAATTCAGTGATGTTGCAAGATACAAAATCAGTATACAAAATATGTTGCATTTCTATATGCTAATAATAAACTATCAGAAGGGGAAGTTAATTCCATTTATTGCATCGAAAAGAATAAAATCCAAGATATAAATTTAACCAAGATGAAATGTGTGCAGTGAAAACTAAGACACTGAAGGAAGTTGAAGAAGAAACATGGAAAAATATTTTGTGTTCATTGATTGAAAGAATTAATGTTAAAGTGTCCGCTACCCAAAGTGATCTACGGATTCAACAGTTTTAGTGCAATCCCTATCAAAATGTCAATGGCATTTTTCACAGAAATGGAACAGATAATTCTAAAATTCAAAAGACAGAAAGAGAGAGGCATCGTGCTTTCTGATTTTATATTATATTACAAAGCTGTAAGAATCAAAACAGTATGGTATTCGCATAAAATCAGACATGCAGATCTATGGAACAGAAAAGAGCCCAGAAGTGAACCCAAACATGTATTCAATTCATTTACAACAAAGGAGCTAAGAATATACAATGGGGAAAGGACAATCACTTCAATAAATGGTATTGGGAAAACTGGACAGCCACATGCAAAGGATGAAACCAGACCACTATGTTACAACATACACAAAAATCAACTCAAAATGGTTAAAGACTTGAATGTAAGATCTGAAACCATAAAACTAGAAGAAAACATAGGAAGTAAGCTCCTTGACGTGGGTCTTGGTTGTAATTTTTTAGGTTTGGCACCAAAAGCAAAGGCAACAAAAGCAAAATAAACAGGACTACATTAAACTATAAAGCTTCTTCACAGCAAGGGAAACCATCAACAAAATGAAAAGGCAACCTACAGAAGAGAAAATATTTGTAAATCATATCTGATAGTTAATATCCAAAATGTATGGAGAACTCATACAACTCAATAGCAAAAAAGCAATTCAATTTAAAAAATGGGCAGAACTGAATAGACGTTTTTCCAAAGAAGACATAAAATGGCCAACAGGTACATGAAGAGACGCTCAACATCACTATTCGTCAGGGAAATACAAATCAAAACCACAATGAGATATCAGCTCATACTTGTTAGAATGATTGTTATCAAAAAGATAAGAAATAATAAGTGTTATGTGTGGTTGTGGAAAAATGGGAGCCCTTACACACTTTTGGTAGGAATGTAAATTGGTATAGCCACTATGGAAAACTGTGTGGAGGTTCCTTGAAAATCCAAAATAAAACTACCGTATGATTCAGCAATTCTGCTTCCTTAATAGTTATTCAAAGGAGATGAGAACACTAACTCTGAAAGGTTTATGCCCTCCCATGTTCATTGCAGCATTATTTACAAGAGCCAAGGACAGGGAAGCAACTTAAGTGTCCATCAGTGGATGAATGATAAAGAAAATGTGGTATATATTTATATACACATGATATAATATTATTCAGCCATAAAAAAGCAAGCTTGTCATTTATGATAACGTGGGTGGACCTTGAGGCATTATGCTAAGTGAAATGAGAGAGAAAGACAAATATCATATGATCTCACTTTTGTATGTGGATTCTACAACAACCAAGCAAAAAAACCCAACAACAACAAAACAAAAACTGAACTCATAGATACAGAGAACAGATTGGTGGTTGCTAGAGGCCAGAGGGTGGAGATTGGGGCACATGTTTGAAGGGGGTCAAAAGTATAAACTTGAAGTTATAAAATAAATAAGTCCTAGGGGTGTGATACACAGCATGGTGACTGTAGTTAATGCCATATATACTTGAATACATACTTGAAAGTTGCTAAAAGAGTAGATCTTAAAAATTCTCATCACATGATGAGAGTGAAAGCTTAATTGAATAATTGAGGAACTCTTATCAACAGTGAAAAGCCTCTGGGTGCAAATCCAAGAATTTTGGAGACTTTGCAGCAGTGGTGGTATCATTGAAACAGTTTCATATCTACATTAGGGGAGAATGGCACTTCATTTGGATGCAAGTAATCATAGTCACTGCATGAGAGTCTACAGTGTGTTAGGAACTTCCTAACTGGTGCGATGTGCTCAGAAGATAGTCTTACACATTCCTGCAGAGAAAGATCAAGGAACCGTAAATTGCTTTATTTTGTTGCATGTAGGAAAATAAATGGTGGAATTGAAACATCTACAGTTTTAAGGGGGTCTCTGAAACTGGGCACCTGGAAGATGGCTAGACGTGGGTCTTTTTCTAAACGTGAAATTAATGTCAATAAAGTACTCTTCCGTTCTCAAAAAAAAAACTCTCATCACATGAAGAAAATTTGTAGCTATATGTGGTGGTGGGTGTTAACTAGACTTATTTATGATCATTTTGTAATATATACAAGTATCGAATCATTGTGTTGTGCAGCTGTAACTACTGTTACATGTCAATTATCTGTCAATTAAAAGAACAATTTATAAATGGAGTAATGTACAAGACGAAAGATGTTTTGGTGTATGAATGGGTTTTTTGTTTCCTCTGTGTCTTGATTGTATGTATCTCTTACATTCTTTTTTTGTTTATTTAGATACACAGAAGTAAAAACAAATGGAAATTTCACCTCAAGGATGGTATTATGAATCTTAATGGAAGAGATTATATATTTTCCAAAGCCATTGGAGATGCAGAATGGTGAAGAGTTGGTTCTTTTCTTTTATAAATAAAACAAACTTAAAAAAAATTTAAAGTGGACAGTTTGAAACTTGGGACATACACCAACCAAAACTTAATTTCTGCATGTCAGAAAAGTGCAGTAGAATCAAAGCTACTGGAACAAAGAGACCTTGACAACAGACACTACTAACTGGCAAGCCATGGAACTGTAGCACCTGGGGTTGTTGGGGTGGGGGAGGTTGGGGTTTTGGAAAACCATAATTGTTGATTTTAAATACAGGTACCTGCCACCAGTAATTAGCATGTAAAGCTTTGTCTATATTCCTTCCTCCAACTTGGGTTCAATCAGAAGATACTTGTTGGAACGAACTGAAGAAAATTCCCTTTTGATAGATTGAACTGAAACTGCTTATTGTATGTGGTTATATTTGGTAAAAATTGCGTGTGAGCTTTTTACAAAAGGGTAAGAATTGTGTTGAATTTTAATTCACTTCTATAAGGAAACAATTTAGAACTCTCGTTGTAGGTCTTAAATATTTTTACTAGCTATTCTCCCTCAGTAATATATACCTCTTCCTTCCCTGCTTTATGAAATATCTGTTTAAGAGTTAAAGGAAGTAATCAGTGAACACAGTTTGGAGGCAAAATTTGACCCAGGAATGATTATTTTAATTAGGTTTTCATACTTACTAAATGTAACTTGGGCCTCATTGAGTTGAACAGAATTAAAATGGCAGCTTTGGTTTCCTTACAGAAAAATACTTGTTTCTTTTAGTCCCATACCTTATAAAGAAACCCCAGAGTGCCTCCTCAGGAATACAGTTTTATTTCACAGAGGTACCATCTAGCTGAAATTACATACATAAGAATAGATATAGATTTTTTCCTGTTGGGCTGAAGTATATGCTTATACATATGTTTAATCTTTAAGCGAAACAGACATTTAGATAACATTCTGTGCATTGACTGAAGCATTGGGCAGGTAGTGAGGACCTGGATTTTTTTTAAACAGTTTAGTAATTATAAAAGTTTCTTGTGTTTACTAGTAAAGAATTTAAAAACTGTTCTAATTGAACAAATTTTTTTAATTGCAACTTTGTAATTTGAGGGAGAAATTTAGGGGTTAGAGGGGGTTGGGCCACTAAGTACATATTTACCTCTCTTTCATTTGGTGGCCCTTCCAGGCCATTGATAATGTAGACATGGGCTCCAGTTTGCACATCGAGAAGAAAGCATAGAAAATTTGACTTGTATATTAAGAATAATAGAAATGTAATATGTATATTAAGAATGCACAGCTCTGTATTCTATAAGGGGCTCTAAAGAACAATATGGCAATGCTATGTTCTGTGTGAACTAGTTGCCTGGGAGAACTGTAGGAACATTTGTCTTCATCTATGTTTTCTTACAACTAATTCTTTTTCATGGTCTATCTTGACAAAATTCACATGGTTTAAGTTACTTGTATATTGATTTTTTTTTTAAGTCTTCCATTTTTGTCTTCTTTTTATTTGCCTTTGTGTGTTTCCAGAAATAACATATTAACACTTTACATTGCAAAGAAAAACTGTGAGCTATTATATGTTTTTTTAACACAAATCTAAAAAGGCTAATCAATTCTTTTTTTTTTTTTTTTGCCTACTTCCCACCCCACGTACCAACTTGGTCCCTTTAACTTATGTTCTGAACTTTGGTGTAAATGATGGTTTCTAGCATGCTAGTAGTTAGGTTCTATTCAGATACCATTAACTGGTAATACGGTTTTAATTTTTACTATATTAATTTAGTTTTTTTGGAGGGGAGGTTTATTTGTTTACCCCACTACTCTCAAAGCACACACAGGTTTTTCTGTTTGTTTTTGTTAATGAATCTGGGAGAAGAGAAGGGAGGGAGTGAAATCAAGGAAGTCCTGTTGTTCAGTTGTCCTTCAGTATAGTTGCTAATAGGTTTATATTTACCCAGTGAAGAAGTCAACGACCTGAACTACCTATAAAAGTTTAGCAGTGCTGCAATGTTGATTGAACCCCTTTGGCTATATCGTAGTTCTTCTGCTACTGAACCTTGGATTACTATAGGATATACAGTTCGTGTTTTGGGCCCTCTATGTAGACAAACATTTGTATTCATAGTAGAATTGTATACTGGCCTGTTTTTATAATGTTATTTTCAAATATGAACAACCACCGCTTTCAGAGTGACTCACTAGGGTTATTTTGAAGCAGGAAATAACCATTTGTATTTGCACCTGTGTATTGCATATTAATTATGGCATACTTGGCAAATGCTTTTCTTTTACCTGTTAAAATTCTGAAAGCCGGTCCAAACAACACTGCATACCAAATTGTGCTCTTATGTATTACTGCATCGTGTTCCTTTTTAATCAAATAGAATGTTTTGGTTTTATTACAGTGGCTTGCTATAAGAATGCCACTTGCTTATCTTTTACTGTACTTGAATTCTTAATCATGCTTTTACATTGTATTTAACAAATCATTTCATTAGGTTCCATAAACTGTCATTCCTTTGAAAAGGCAAGGATTCCCACTTTCAGAATTTTAAAATGAAAATAACATGTTTATTCAAAGAGGGAAAATAGTTCAGACTTGGTATTATGAAAATAAGTAAAGGTTTCAGAAGAGGATTTGTTTAGATTTGCACAGATGGTGATGGCACCTTTTACTACAAAAAAAAAAAAAAGGAAAATTTACACAAAATTACTAGGTAAAGTGTGGAAATGTGTGCCTTTCAGTATATGTACTCTTTTTTTGGTGGTCCTTTGGAGTATCAGACCATTTGAATTGCCTGAGAGCACATTTAATTTCTGTGGAGAGCCACATTGGGCTAAAACAACTTTAATGTGCAATTAGTTTCTAGAGTAAAATGTCTGTTGTATGAGGGGGATCTTTATATTGGGCTTTTATATTTTTTTAAATGTTCACATTTCTTTCTGTTAATTAAATGCCGTCATATCACATTTATATTGTTGCCTCTCTTAAAATCAAAGCCACCTTGATGTTATTCTTAGGAATACATCAGGATCTGAGCGGTGTGTATAGTGATTAAAATGTGTTCTTGAAGAGCATATTCTAATAGATTTTGGTTTTAGCAAGAACATAAAAATATAATAGCTTTTGTATAAAGATTTTCTTTTGCTATATTGAAAGTCAAAGATTTGGTTTTCTTTTTTCTGGCTTTTATGGAGGAATAAAAAAGGGTTGTCTCCCTCTAAGTAATTTTTGGTTACCTTACAGCAATAATGTCACCATTCTTTTCAAAAGGTAAATATGCCTTGTACAGGAAAACAGACATAATTTCCTCTTGGGAGTTCCCTTTATAACTTAGCATTTTCTTCCACTTGAGAAAATTCCTATATTTTCGGATTATTTCATCTTGAACTTTTTTGAACTTTTGTGCAATGGAATATTTTATTGATCCATCTTTGTACATTTTCATTTTATTTCATGTCTGTTTCCCATCTGAGTCAGCTATTTCAGATTTTGAATTCATTGGTTAAAGCATAGTTGCTTTAAATAGTTCCTCATGAGTTTATATTAAATAGTTTTGCATTTTAATCTATTATGCTATGGAAATTATTCTGAAGTTTATAATTCCCTTTTTAAGCCTGCCTTAGCCTATCTTTTGTCATTTTTTATGATTTAAGGAAGAACACACCAAACTTAATATTTGTGTTTATTTTGAGGAGCAGGAGAAACCTTTTTCTTCTCTTAAGGGAAGGAACTGCATTGAATTAGTAACTACTATTTTAGTCAAGCTTCCTTAAATCGTTCCAGTATGTGTCAGGGCTACAATTTTGGGGGAGGGGCTAATCCTTTTGCTGTTCTGAGCTACTATTGTCAACTGCTGTTGTACATACTGTTATGTGTAAGGGCGTAAATATATTTATTATGTTTGTAAAATTCATTCTGTACAATTGCAGATCAAGGTTGCTCTTCTGTGATATACAGGATATTATGTTTTAAAGACCATCTTGGAATACAATTAGAGAACTTAGTATTTTGATGTACTAAGACCTATTTTAAGTTTAATATTTTACCTTTGCAAAAACTTTAATTAAAGATGTTATTTAAAAAAGAGTAAAATGTTGCTTGCTTTGCTTACTAGTGTATAAGACTTTTATATAGATAACTGACTAAAACTATACAATTTAGAAAGGAAAATGCTTACATTGTTAATAAGTTCCATTTATCAAAAGAAAAGGGCATCATTAAATTCTATACCTTCAAAATAAGTAGGGTGGGATGTCAATCTGAAATACTAAACTGTTACAAGTTCTTAGTAGCTTTTAAGAAGAATAGTCGTATTTTCCAGGCACACAGGAATTTATTTTTATTTTTTATTTATTTTTTAAATTTTATTATGTTATGTCACCATACAATACATCACCAGTTTTCGATGATCCATGATTCATTGTTTTCGTACAACCCCCAGTGCTCCATGCAGTACGTGCCCTCTTTAATACCCATCACCAGGCTAACCCATACCCCCACCCCCTCCCCTCTAGAACCCTCAGTTTGTTTCTCAGAGTCCATAGTCTCTCATGGTTCGTCTCCCCCTCTGACGTCCCCGCTTCATTTTTCCCTTCCTTCTCCTAATATCCTCCATGCTATTCCTTAGGTTCCACAAATAAGTGAAACGATAGGATAATTGAGTTTCTCTGCTTGACTTACTTCATTTAGCATAATCTCCAGTCCCATCCATGTTGATGTAAAAGTTGGGTATTCATCCTTTCTGATGGCTGAGTAATATTCCATTGTATATATGGACCACATCTTCTTTATCCATTCATCTGTTGTAGGGCATCTCGGCTCTTTCTACAGTTTGGCTATTGTGGACATTGCTGCTATGAACATTGGGGTGCATATGGCCCTTCTTTTCACTACATCTGCGTCTTTGGGGTAAATACCCAGGAGTGCAATTGCTGGGTCATAGGGTAGCTCAGCTTTTAACTTTTTGAGGAAACTCCACACTGTTTTTTCCAAAGTGGCTGTATCAACTTGCATTCCCATCAACAGTGTAAGAGAGTTCCTCTTTCTCCACAACCTCTCCAACATTTGTTGTTTCTTGCCTTGTCAATTTTTGACCAGGCACACAGGAATTTAAACTGGGCTAAATTCACACCAACAAAATATAACTAAAAATTGATATAATTAACATATTGTAATAAATGAGTAATTCTACTCCAAGGAATAGATTACGTAGGATAAAATTATTTGAGGGCATATTTGTTTTTTAATTATTCTGTTTAGCTGAATCTTTTCCTTAGTTCAGAGTTTGTAAATAATTGCATAATAGGAGACCTGGATTATTGAGGTTTGTATTACGTATATATTTTGTGTTATTTTAGAAGGTATTAAATAATTGGCAGGTATTTTAATTTTATAGTTAATTCAAATGAATCATTAAGAAGGTTGTGGTTTTTTTGTAATTTTTTTTTATCCTGTTACTACTTTAGGAAACCAGCGAATTTTAACCATTAAAACAATCATAAAGACATTTATTGCCAGCAAATCTTGTATTTTTGCACTTTAAGCTCCTTTGTTGATGACCTTAACCATTTTGGCCTCAGTTTCTTCATCTGTAAAATGATGACTGTGATTTTGAGGACTGAGGTATATTGCATGTAAAGCTCTTAGAATTGTGCTTGGTTTACGTAATTTGATTAGTGGAGCCGCAAAAAGTTTTTTTTTTTTTTTTTTTTTAAAGATTTTATTTATTTATTTGACAGAGAGAGATACAGCGAGAGAGGGAACACAAGCAGGGGGACGGGTAGAGGGAGAAGCAGACTCCTCGCCAAGCAGGGAGCCTGATGTGGGGCTCGATCCCAGGACCCTGGGATCATGACCTGAGCCGAAGGCAGATGCTTAACAACTGAGCCACCCAGGCGCCCCAAAAAGGTTTTTTTTTAATGGTGAAAAATAGCAAAAGAGATGTGATCTGATTAAGTTGAGGCAGTGAAAGATTTGGTTACAACTGAACAAATTAAGCCTGGGAGGTTGAGTTAGTGAAGCAGTGGCTGTAGCAGAAAGTGCCTGAGGGAAGAAAAGCAAAGGACAGGTATAGGAGGGGGTAATGAAACATGGTTAGGAGGCTTTAAGCTTTTCTTTTTTTCACCCTAAAGTAAAAATATTCTGAATTACAGGTCTAAAACAGGTTGAATTTTCCCAAAGCTAAAATTAGTAGATTTGCAGCATTTTTAAAAATTACACAATTTTCCTAAATGTCAGTGGGTTCTTCCCAATTCATTTATGGAGAACAACATTGATACTAAAATATCGTTAGGGAAGGATTTTGAAGCTCTGATTACCTCACCTTGAGTCTGACCTGAAACCTCCTAGTGATTGTTGGCAGTCCTACTTCTGGAGGTAAATGGACTTTGTGTCAACCCTCCTACTCCTCAGCCAAGGAAGAGGCAGATATTAAGTAGTTGCTTACTTTTGTTTGTTTTGAAATACAGTTTTCTTAGTCTGAGAAGAAATTGAGCACAGAGCATATATTAACTCTCATTCAACTCACTCTATAGTGATTTCCCATGAGCCAGGAATTGTGACCAGTATTACTGGAGGACCCAGAGATGAATAAGACAGTTGCCACATTTTCAGAGCTGTGAGGTCGAATTGTGTGGGTTCTAATTCTAGTGTAGATTGGATTAATAACGGTGTGAACTTGGGTGTGTTACTAAACCTGACTACCTTGGGGTTGTCATGAAGATGAGATAATGCATGTGTTGCATTTAACACAGTCCTTGGCACATGGCAACTGCTCAATAAAGGTGCACATACCCATGTATTTTAGTAAGGGATAATGGTCCCAGAAAAGATGTTAGTTTGACTAGGTTACTTATGTGTGTTTTCCTTATCTTCCTACCTTCATAGACACAGGTTAACAACCTGTGATGATGCCTCTGCAATTGAACTGAGGGATTCAGAAGACAACATTAGTGATTATGTTGGGCACTGAGTTTGTCAACAGAAATAGATAATTCTAGAAACTGAATTGTAGTTGTGATCTTCACATTGAAAATGAATTTTGCTTTCATGGATCAAGAACATTCTGAGTCTTCACTTACCTTCAAACTTCACCTTTCCGAAGGTTGTGGAATTGCACTCAGTTACCTACTGAGTGCTTCTGGAATAGCCCTCTTCCTCAAACACAGTGTTACAGAAACAATTCATTCCCATTTCTGTTTCCCTATCCAAACCTCGTTTACCAGTAACTGCTGTTTTCCCACTCACTGGGATTTGAAACTTAGTGTCATCTGAACCTGTTTCTTCCCTAGTCTTACCCAATTTTAGTGAATAGCTCTACTGTCTACCAGGTGCTCAAAACAAAACCCAAGGAGTCAACCCTGAAG